GACAATAAATTTCATATATAAATAAAAAAAAAAAAAAAAGAAAATGACAAGCTGACCCTCAATTCCAAATGAAAATACAGGGGACTGGAAGAGCAAAACAATTTTGAAAAAGAGAACATAGCTAAAAGACTTACATTTTCAGGTTTCAAAACTTACCAAGAAGTTATAGTAATAAAAACAGTGTGCACTAACAAGGGTGCCTAGGTGGGGTACCTCAGTCGGTTAAGCGTTGACTCTTGATTTTGGCTCAGGTGGTAATCTCATGGTCAGTTGTGAGAACCAGCCTCCCATCAGGCTCTGTGCTGAGCTTAAAGACTGCTTGGCATTCTCTGTCTCCCTCTCTCTCTGTCCCTCCCCCACTCACACACACATGCACAATCTCTCTCTCTCTTTCTCTCTCTCAAAATAAATAAATAAACATTCAAAAACAAAACAAAATGGGGCACTTGGGTGGCTCAGTCAGTTGAGCGTCCAGCTCTTGATTTCGGCTCAGGTCAAGATCTCACGGTACGTGAGTTCGAGCCCTGCGTCATGCTGACAGCACAGAGCCTGCTTGGGATTCTCTCTCTCACTCTCTCTGCCCCTCCCCTGCTGATGCTCTTTCTCTCAAAATAAATAAAAATAAATAAATAAATAAATAAATAAATAAATACAAAACAAAACGTGTACTGACATAAAGATAGACATATAGATCAATGAATACAATTGAGTCAAAAAATAAACAGACTTTCAATAAAAGTGCCAAGACAATGGGGGAATGAATAACCTTTTCAACAGATGGTGTGGGGCAACTTAATACACACACACAAAAAATGAAGTTGGACTCTTTCTTTCTTACACCATACACAGAATTTCATCAAAATGGATCATAGACCAAAATGTAAGAGCTAAAAGTATACAGCTCCTGGAAAGAAACATAGGAGTAAATCTTTTGATCTTGGGTTAGCAAAGCACAAGTGACAAAAGAATAAATACATTAATTGGACTTCATCAAGGTTAAAAACTTCTGTGTTTCAAAAGACACCATCAAGAAAGTGAAAAGACAACAGAATGGGAGAAAATATTTACAAATCATATATCTGATAAGTGACTTGAATGCAGAATACATGAAGAGCTCTTATAACTCAGAAATAAAAAAAGACATCCCAATTGAAATATAAGTAAAGGATCTGAATAGATATCTGTCCAAAGAAGATATATGCACAGTCAGTAAGCACATGAAAAGATGCTCAACATCATTAGCCATTAAGGAAATGCAGATCAAAACGACAATGAGATACTACCTCACACCCACTAGGAGGGCTATAATTAAAAAGATAGGCGATAACAATGTTGAGAAACACATACATCGCTGATAGGAATGAAAAATGGTGCAGTCACTTTGGAAAACAGTTTTCCAGTTTCTCAAAATGTTATATGTAGTTATCATATAACCCAGGAATTCCACCCAAAGAGAACTGAAAAACATATGCCCACACCACAACCTGTGCACAAATATTCATAGTATTATTCATACCAGCCAAAAAGTAGAAACAAATGCCCATCACCTGATAGATGGCTAAATAAAATAGGATACATCCACAAAATGGAATATTATTTGGAAATGAAAAGGAACTACTGATACATGGATGAGCCTTGAAAACATCATGCTAAGTGAAAAAAGCCAGTCACAAATGACCACAGAATATATGATTCTATTTATAAGAAATGTCCAGGACAGACAAATCCATAAAGAAAGTAGGTTAGTGGTTGCCTGAGGTTGGGGGAAGGAGTGGAGGAGAAAAAAGACAAGTAATTGGTAAGGTGTACAGAGTTTCTTTTGGAGATGTGAAAATGTTTTAACATTGATTGTGGTGATGGCTGTACAATTCACTATCCAGTGAATATATAAAAACACACTGAATTGTACACTTGAATGAGTGAATTTTATGGTACGTGAATTATATCTCAGTGAGGATATTATTAAAAAAGAGAGAGAAATGAAAAAAAAATTCTATACAAAGTTCTAAACCAACCTGTTTGAAAGATTCGTTTTTTCTACAGGCCAGAAAAGCCTACTACTATCTGATAAATTATTAAGTATAAATGTTTAATTTGGTTTTAATATTTGAGTTTGACTCATGCCATAATTGACTTTTGATTCCAATATCTCAATATTGTGAACTCAAACTTCTCATCTATATCAGGCTAAAATACCATTAGAGGGATTTATATATTTAACTTTGAACACGGTATTTTTCATATCAAATTGCCACATGTATGTTTTATAATCTGCTTACCTCTTCTTCTCTTCTCAGGAAGGGATATCTAATTTTACATGTGAGATTATGATTGGACTCACAACTGTCTTTTTGGATAGCCTTGGAAGAAAAAGTAAACAGAATTAGAGCAGACACACAGGTGAAATACTGGAACTTGGTTTTCTAGAATTTTTCCAGGTATGCCTTGGATTCTGCCTTGCTAAGATCTGTCCCTCAATTTAGTTGGGAGAGTCACATTATTCTGTGATCACCTGTCTCACCATCCATGGAAAATCTGAAAACATCATGTAAGTTAAGGGAAACTGAGGGACAATGCACATCACATCTTATCCTGTCTAGATTTTCCAATGTAAGTAAAATGGAGGTACTAACAGCATGTACTGCACAGGTGACTAAATAATCCACACATATTACTCGGCCACATGGAAGCCCACAGTGAATACCTATCATAAGAAGAGCTCAGTGAAGTGGTAAGATCATGAGCTCTGATGTGAGACCCCTAGAATTTAAATTCTGACTCCATCACTGTTAGCTTTCTCCTTGCCAAGACTCCTCACTTCTCTGAGCCTGCTTTTCTGTCAGGTGAGGCTAGTGATACTCTATTTCATCAAATCGAAAATGCCACTGAGACTCACCATTATTTTGTGTACCAATAAGAAGGAAAAATAATGCTGCCAGCTAAATAAACATATCAACTGTAAAATGCAGTTATAGAAAGGTTAAAACATGACAGAGAGAGATTTTATTAGAATCTCTGTAGTACAATAATACCTATTTGCTTAATGAGAATTGAATAAGTGGGACCCTGAGAACAGTGTCTGGAATATAATATGACTCAAGAAAAGACTGTCATCATTATTATTGTTGTTACTGTTAAATGATGTAGAGGCCTCTCTACCGAGGCCATGAAGTCAGTTGAAGAGAATACTGGCAATAATTTTTAATATAGTCCCCTTTCCAGAAAAAAATTCAGTGGTAATATTTTCCCAGTATCACTTTGCACATTTGGATTTATAATTAACATTCTTGACTGAATCTAAAATATGTGGTAGTAATGAAGGACATATTTTTAAGCTCTGTTAGTCATCATGTCCTTAAATGATATCCTAATAAATGGAGAGACATATCAGTGAAAGTCTGAATTTGCAGAAATTAGACAATGGAGTTTTAATATTATATTAATAAGGGTACTGGTTTTTAATATGAATCACATATATTACTAATTCATACATAAACAGAATCTTAAATAAAGGGGATTAATTCAGAGATAAGAATTAAAAGAAAAGTTCAAATTTGGAAGTGCTCATTATTATTCCTGATATAGCATCTTATGCAGCTATGTTATTGCCAAGATAAATATTCTGTCATGACAATGAGACATTACAAGTTAACACCTCTTTTAACAATGTAAGGATTTTACATAGAAAATGAAAAATGGTATCTTGATGCTTCTTTATGTAAACATGGGGTTTTTTTTGTTCCATGCATGCATTACTCTCTCTGTACGTCTATTAAACTATTTGACTTTGTTATTTTGATATTTTTCCTTGACTTAGTCTCAATTTCACTGCATAATGCCTCCATGAAACATGATTTTGCTGCATCACAGTGATCCTCGCCTCAAACTGAATCTGAAAAGAGTCACAGATCTCTACAGAAATCTATCAAAACAAAACCTTTTTAAAAAAAAGTTTGGCACTTTCACCATTTGTGAGTACTAATTTTTACAAAATGCTCTCTGTTCTTCTAAACCCAATTATTAGTTCTTCTAAAACAATTAGTTCAGTAGCAGGAAAAGTAGACTTAATAAATAATGATTATATGAATAGACAAACATAAAACTAAAAGTTTACCTCAATTCCTGAAAAAATTAGGTTTGGAGAATAATGCACTATGGTTCTGGTGTTATAGGCACTGTCCTTTTTGTTTTTGACTGTGAGACTAACATTGAATTTGTCATTGTGGGACCTGACAATAAGCAGGCCCTTTGCTGTGGTGGATACTTGCAGGGCGAGGTCCGAGATACATTTTTCCTTGTTTCCACAATCTTTGGCAAAGGGAATCTGAAATGGTCACAGAAAAGTATTTTTTGAAATTTAGTTAAGCATGATTGAAGATTAATTATTAACTTGCTGAGAAGAGAAAACATATTGCCAAACTTAGTTAAGCAAGTCACAAAGAGGACAGATTCCACTGCAGAAGTCATAAGGAATTTTAGATTTATTCCTATAATTTATAGGGAAAAATAATAAACTTCTGGATATAAATTCTTCTAGTCCTTTAAATAATGCAGTTTTCACAGATGTTTTTCACTGGCTTTAGTCTGCCAGACTAGAACAGTTTCATGAAAATCAAGTCAAGTACTCTAAGATCCAAATCTATGAGAGAATACTTTAATGCTCAACTCTGATTATGAGATTTCCTATTGAAAAGAATCAAATACTTAGGAATGTAACAGAGCTCAGTCAGAGGGTAGAAAATGGTCAAGCCACATAACTGGGAGCTTTCCCTGACTCCTCTTCTCATTAGTCACATGCCGTTATCCAAACCTTCATTAAGAGCTATCCATTCTACCATTCTTCTAAGTATCTTCCAACTATCTTCTCACCTCTAGTCACCATCACCTCTAGTCTAGTCATCCTTATTTCCTCCCTGAACTAATGCAACAGCTTCCTAAGTGGTCTCCTGCACCCACTCTAATTCCAATCATTTCCCTTCAATCATTTTCCACACTGCAGCTGGAGTAATCCTGAAAAAAATACAAATCCAGTGCTATCACTGAACCAATTAAAGGCATCCATAGCATTCTATTGCTCTTCAAAATATCTGTGCAGTAGCACAAAGTCCTGAATGATCTGGTTCCTGCCTATGCCTCCCACCGTATCCCATATCACCTTCCCCCCAGTTCCTTTATGCCTCAGAACTTTTACACATATCCCTGTGCATGAAACACTGCTCCCTCCACTCCTCTGAATAGGATGGAAAATCCTCCTATGCTTCAGATCTCAACTTAAATATCACAGCTTCAGGAGAGCACCCCCTGGCTCTCTGCCTAGGCAAAAGTTCCCAGAGAACAATGAAGTTCTCCTCCAGAGCACATGCTTTACTTCCCACCTAATACTTGTTTCCTGGGTTGGTCTGTAAGCTCTGAAGTCTGGTACATGTAAGACACACAGTAAGTATATTTGAAAGGAAGAAAGGGAGAGTGAAAGATATGGGTATGGGGAAAACTAATTCCCCATCCTTAATGTCTCCTCTATTGGTGCTACCCCATCCTTCTACTTGCTCACTTACTCCTTCTCAGGGGTGGGACACCAGATTTTGTGAATTTGGAAGCAGGAACATGGTGAACACAGCTCAGTCCCTTCCCGTCTCTCCTGCTCTTGGGGCAGCAGTGTGCCCATGGAAAGCATACATTCTTGCTCTATTATCTCCATTCTGCAAGTTTTATGAGGTGAGCCCACACGAAAAAAGGCCTGAGATTGATGAGCACTGCTGATGATATATTTGGTAATCTGTGGTCTAAGCCTTGTTCAGTAGGAAGACACCCAGTACGCTGAAACCAAGCCCTGCCACTCAGTGTTTGTTGGTAACAAAGGGAGTTCCAGTAGGCCAACCCATGTCTTTCTTTCTATTGGTCTTAAATTCAGGAGAGATAAAAAAAAAAAATAGGTGGTATTTATAAGTTCCCTTGAGCTCCAACAATAGGAAGTAGAAGAGTTGAGAAAAGTCTAGAAGAGTCTCATTCTTTTTGTAAAAAAAAAAAATGATTTAGGGTTGTGTGTGTATGTCTGTGTGTTACAGGCTTCTCTCCCCAAGTATATTTACATATACGTATTCTGAATTTTACAAAATCTGACTTACATATTCATGTACTGAATTTGGTAGGGAATCATCAAGAACAGGCCCGTTTTCTGGATCAGTAAGATTAAAATCCAAAGTTATCCTCACAGAGTCCCGAAAGTCATGCTTGTCCTACAGGTTGAAACATAAAATACTTTATCATTGGTATCACATTACTGGATGCTCTGACCTTGTCGTGACTTCTTTCCTCTTGCTTCACTGGAGAGAGGTGGCCTTCTGCCTTGATAAGGGACATGGCTGGAATGCACAGGCTTCAGAGTATGACCAGTTGATTCACCTCTAGCTTCTTAGGGAGCCCTGCTGGAGTGATCGGGTGTGCCGTACTTTGCATAACAATATCTTTTCTCTTGAGACCTTAGGCTAAAAATTGCCATGTAATACTTCCAGAAAAGTCTCCCAACTTCAAAAGAGCAAACTTTATTTAAATTGAGTTGAATTTAATTAGCATAATATATGCCTGGAGTTGTAAGAATTTCATAATATAAAGTGATATGTAAGTAGTATGAATGCAATCAATATTGTTTTATACTATCATCAGCAATGGCCATTATTTATGGCATGTCCAGAATTATGAACTTTACAGACATTATTGAGAAGTATTTCAACATCCTCCAAGATGAATGACTCTTATAGTCATTATTTTACATTTGAAAAACTGGGCCTCTAAGAGACTAAACAAGTTGGTGAAAATCACTTGGAATGTGAGGAAGCCTTGCTATAAATTCCATCCTGCCTGACTCTGGAATAAATGTTAAAGTATCCATTTAAATGCAAAAAAATTTTGGAAATTTTGAAACTGGTTCACACATAGTGCACAGACATAGCTAGATTCTAAATTTTGGACAAATATATACTACAGTTACTTCTATTAGGTTGGAGGCGGTGCCACATCTGGTTTCACGCCCTTTCGGATTTTATACAAGTTCGAACTCCTAAATGCTCAGTTCTGATGAAATAGATAGGAGGATAACTCCAATTGTTTTTTCTGATTATAGATTGATATTAGTGTTGACAGATAAATTAATTTCAATGTATGTCGTGGGGAATATTAACTTGAAAATCACTGAGGAGAAATACAGTATACCAGCAAGGCATGTTTTCTGTCACTTCCCTACCCCAACTATAATATTTTAAACATGTAGAATATGAATACATCAATAATACAGAAATAAGTCAAAGGTGGGAGAAACCCGGCCTGTTTCCTTTAAAATTCCAAGATCATGTACAAGCTCCAGGTCTGTCTCAGTCACTAAAATCAGTGTCTTCTCATAATATCCATTCTTCTCTCACTCTGTCTCTCTCTCTTTTTTTTAAGTACCACGTACATTATAAGAAAATGTTTAAGAAATTCCTGCCCTTATTGGGAATGTTCCCCATTTACACAATGACTCAATAAAATGCATTTTAAATGGTTCAAAAGGGCTTCCTAGCCATCTCTGGAGATTAAGAATTTGCTTTCTAAGGCTCCCTCATCACTGTAATAGAAAGAAACTTAGGTATCATAAAGAAACTTAGGTTATCATGAAATAAAAAATAACAGATTTTTTCCTCTTCAATTTAAAGTCAAAGAGCAACATACAAAATTCAGTGGATAAGAAGGGACCTGGGAAAGCATATGGCCCAAAAGTTTTCAGGGCATGTAGCCACTTATCTACATTTGACAGATGAGGCCCACAAAAGTTAAATGATGTTTTCAAGTTGAAAGAATAAATGAATGGATACAAGAAATGAGTAAGTGAATGAAGGCAGAAGGTCTCTTATCAACCAGTGCACTGTGCCTTTTGCTATTCCATAATATATGGGTATCTGATAACATACACACAGGGAAGATGAAAGATAGTCTTATGAAATGTATTTGGAAATGAGAAGATCAGGTCTGTGATTTTCTGATAAAAGTGACCAAATAAAATGAAGGTTACTTTGTGATGTGCACTCCAAAATAAAATAATATGGGTGACTTGAAATAAGACATCTGTGCTTTATTCTTGATTTGGAATAAAGCAACTATAACATATGATTTACTTGCCAACATGTAGAAGGAAAGCTTAGTGCATTCTGATTCTTGAACTGTGATGTTTCTTTGAATCTTTCTTTCTTGAGTTCCAGAGAAAAAACTCCGTGATATCTGTCTTAGTGAATCTAGTGTGACACGGTACTGTATATCTGGGGAAAAAAATGACAAGAAACATTTACTTGGGGTAACTTTCATATGGTCCAGTTCATTAAATTAGCATTATAGAAAAACCTTGTGAGCAATCAATCAACAAATAGTTTCTATTATTCAGCTTATCCCCATTACTGTAGTACAATGGTATTCACAGTCATAAAGATAATCTTTAGGAACTCTACAGAACCACCTTCGGAGTTCACTCTGCTTTTAATGTTTAATTACACTTATTTCATAATGTATATGTACATATGCACACACACATACGTGTACACCTACATATCAACTAATTTCCTGACCATGCATGTATTTACTGGGTTTTCACTTAAATTATTATTATTATTTTTAGTTTAGCAATGTTGAAGTCCTGCTTAGAATATTGAATATATTTCAAAAGACACACACAAAAAATATACTAATGAATTTTTACCTATTTTGTGAAAAGGTCATTTTAGATTATGTTCAAAGCACATAGTAAAATAAGTTTAAGAAAATAGGTGTACCAAAATAAAAAAACAAGTTAAACCTTACACTTTCTAAAAAGGCAACAATCCTACTCATTTGAACCCTTAGTTACTGTACAGAAATCAAATGAGACTGAAATAATATTGTATATGAAAATATAAATCATTATTTTACACTCCTATAGCTAATTATCTTCTAATCAGAGGACCATTGCAGAGCATAATTATGCACATGTAGAGCAAACTAAGAAAAACAGATTTTAAGGATTGATGATTTTTTGTATTTCACTTACCCTTGGTTTGTAGAGTAAACTACTCTTTTGCAGCCAATGGCCTCCACAGTTTTGAATCTAACACGTTTTAATATCTTTAAAAAAACACCTTAGGAAGTGTGCGTGTAGGGAGGAGGAGACACCCAGGCTGTGCCTGAGAACTCATACATGGAGCATGTCTGATTCTCAAAAGCCAGGGTCACCTTCTGAGTAGAGCAAAGAAACCTCAGTCAGGTGGGGGTGGCAAAGCATTCAGGTCCCCTGCAATATCAGTCTTACCAAAGAGGGGCAGAAGAAGGAAGAGAGGGTTTGTGAAAACCCATAGGAAGGAAAACTGGGCTCCTCTGGAGCCCAGTTTCCAAACTCTAATCTCCAAACTTGTATTATTAATATTGTTTTTAGTACCTGGTTGTTTGCGGTAAAGGGGAGAGCCAGAGGGGAACCATGGACTGTTGAGGCCATTGCATATAACCATACAGTGTCTGCTACAGAACTTACTGGGTTCCATAACATATTCTTTCTTCAGTAGATTTTTTTTTTCAAGGTTCAGCATGTTCACAGGGGCAAGGGTGAAATGCAGATCCCTATCACAGAGGAAATACAATATCTTACTGGATTTCCTGATGTGGGAGCAAATGTATTGTCCTCCTGCCCCAAAGTACTCGGTATACATATTATACTCACCAGCTGTGTAAATTCTGTCTTCTTTGGACTTTAATTTCACATCAAAACACACCGTAGCATTTATGCATACTGTTTCCTTTCCTTCCACATGGCAGTTTTTCTTTTGGATATTCACTTTATTGGGTTCAAAATTCATGGTCACTTTAACTACAGCCACATCTCGGGACCTACAAACATAAACGGTGATGACTGCTCACATACTGTCACATTTAATGAATGCCATCACTATGCCAGTGCAGTGTGAATGCACTGATGGGGTTCTTCTTTGTGTATGGTTGGCTTCTCAGGACTCCATTTCTTTGGTGAGTTTTTGATACAGAATAGGTGGTATATGAGGTTCCGAGGACACCCAGGATGTTTTGGAACCATCTTCAACTTCTGGTGCTAAATGGTAGGAGAATACGCCACCCCAAAATGTGATTACAGGAGTTTAGGACATGTCACCCCAAAACATATCACTTTGGTATATTGATTAGTTTGAGCTATAGGCACTTGATAAACAGTAAATACAGGAAGAAGCTTTCTCTGAAATTTCCTTCTACCTAAAGGTAGATACTCCAAAAGGAACTCAACTCGAGTTCATCAACCAGAGAGGACTGACTCTTATCACAACATAAGAGACACCACACTGGTCACAGTGTGAACTTGGTCACAAACTATCATATCACCCATTTATTTTTTCCAAGGCCCACTCATTTTTCTTAAAAATCATTTACTCTCCCCGTAGAGGCCTACATACCTTCTCTCTTGTCTCTATTAAAATGATATTTAAGTCTGGGGTTCCTGGGTGGCTCAGTTGGTTAAGCGTCTGACTCTTGATTTCAACTCAGGTCATGATTTCATGGTTCATGAGTTCCAGCCCCACATCGGGCTCCATGTTTACAGTGCAGAGCCTGCTTGGGATTCTGTCTCTCTCCTTCTCTCTCTGCCCCTCCTATAATCTCTCTCTCAAAATAAATAAATAAACTTAAAAAATAAATAAAATGGATTTAAGTCTGAATTCTAAACCACCTCAAGGAATTACTCATTTTTCTTTGGGTATCTCCCATGTATACATGAGATATACAAATTTATAAATCTCTATTTTTCTCTTGTTAATCTTTTATAACAGGGATCTCAGCCAAGAACTTAGAAGGTTGAAGGAAAATTATTTTTCATTCCTTACAGTTCATAAGCCAAAAATCTGTTTTCTTGTGATGGAAAAAAGATGGAACCAAGTGCTCAGATGCAACTTCAGAACCAAAACCATATTTTGGGAATTTTCAAGTTTGTTTCCACTCTGGAAAGAGTCCAAACGCCAATGGACAGCTTCTGTCCACTGTAATACTTGTACAGACAAGTACAGGTCCTGTAGCTAGGTAGCTTGTGAATACATAGGTCCCCGATTTGATTTTGCATTAAAAAAACTATAGTTACTTTTCTTTTAAAACATTTTACTCAAAGAAAACATGGAAACATAAAAAAGGAAACAAAGAAAACAGAAATCACTTGTAATTTTACTACTCAGCAATAATCACCATTAACATTTGATATGCTTTTTTTCTTTGCAGAAGAATATATCATCTATAGATATGGGTATGTGTGTGTGCGTGTGTGTGTGCGTATGTGTGTGGGAAAAAGAGACATACACACACATGCATGTACATATGTATCCATACATACTTTTAAAACTTATCATGATATAATGAACAGCCTTATAATATTTGTATTTTTCTGGGAACATTATTTTTAATGACAATAAATTATTCCAGCATACACATGTATTGTAACCTATTTACTCAATCCTTTCTTATGGTACATTTGTGTTAATTTGTTTTTTATTAAAAAAGCTTTTTTAATGTTTATTTTTATTTTTGAAAGAGAGGGAGAGAGAGAGACAGAGAGTGAGCAGGGGAGGAGCAGAGAGAGAAGGAGAGACAGAATTTGAAGCAGAGCCAGGATCCATGCTGTCAGCACAGAGCCCGATGTGGGGCTCAAACTCACAAACCAGGAGAATGTGACCTGAGCCCAAGTTGGACGCTGACAAAACTGAGCCACCCAGGCACTCCTGTACTAATTTGTTTTTTAAAAAGTTGCTAGCACAGTGCTGTGATGGCTCTAAAGATTCTATATCTTAGATAAAGATTAGAGTTTTAAAAATTTTTCAGAAATTGGGACGCCTGGGTGGCTCAGTCAGTTAAGCGTCTGACTTGGGCTCAGGTCATGATCTTGCAGTTCCTGAGTTCAAGCCCTGCATTGTGCTCGGTGCTGACAGATCAGAGCCTGGAGCCTGCTTTGGATTCTTTGTCTCCCTCTCTCTCTGCCCCTCCCCCACTCATGCCCTATCTCTCTCTGTCTCTCAAAACTAAATAAACACTAAAAACTTTTTTTTTTAATTTTAGGAACTAAATTCTGTGTTAAAAAGTGTAAATATTTTAAGGCTTTTTAACACTTATTGGCAAATACCTTCTAATGTGTTTTAACCAGTTTACTCTTTCACCAGCAATGAATGAGCATGTCTAATTTCCTGCATAGTAGTTTGGATACTCCAAGAATGAAGCTCCCCACTGCACATCTCTCTGCCCCAACCCGGTCTTTAAAGGGGTTATGGTGCAATCTATTCCACATGATAGGGCTCTCAATATCTGTTCCTGGACGTCCCTGACTGCTGGTGGGCCTCTGTTTATTGCCTGCCATCTATATCCACTCTCAATCCCTCCTTCAGCATTGTGAAGTCTTGGTCTTTGTGTCCCTGTATGCTGGTTTGGTCCATTCTGCTGGGAGTGACAGGGACCCAACTCTGTCATTTTGGCCCATTAATGATAAAGCACTGACCGGCAGCAAAAGAGGTCATAAGTAAGTCTTCAGAGCTTTGTAAGAAGGCTCTGAAACAAAACTGGAGAGTAAAAATTGCCCTTATTGTATGTACGTATGTGTATATATATATATATGTAGCATATATACATATATATGTGCATATTGCATATATATTCATATTGCATATACATAAAAATAGATATATTTAATATGAGAGTGAATACAATAAATATGTTTGAGTTAAGGTTATCATAATAAATTAATTCATGATTACCAGTTCATACAAAAAGTAAATATACCCTTTGTTGCTGACACTGGTGATTTCAGCTCGTTTTGGGTCTGTCATCCCCAAAGTCACAGCTACTTGCTGCCTGGAATTCTCCTTTCCTAGGCATCACCTTACAGTTTTCTTTCTCCCTCTCACCCCCCACCCCCGCACTGTACAGTTAAAACATTTCTTAACATAATAGTTATTATCTGCGTACAGTTTAATATGCAATTTGTATTTGGCCATTAGTTCTTAAACAGTATCTCTTTTTAAAATGTTTCTTTTCCTTGAGTTTTTTTTTTTTAATTTTTTTTTCAACATTTATTTATTTTTGCGACAGAGAGAGACAGAGCATGAACGGGGGAGGGGCAGAGAGAGAGGGAGACACAGAATCGGAAACAGGCTCCAGGCTCTGAGCCATCAGCCCAGAGCCCGACGCGGGGCTCGAACTCACAGACTGTGAGATCGTGACCTGGCTGAAGTCGGACGCTTAACCAACTGCGCCACCCAGGCACCCCTTCCTTGAGTTTTTTAAGTTGAACTATAGTTGACATATAATTTTATATTAGTTTCAAATGTGTAACATAGTGATTCAACAATTATATTCATCACCTTATGCTCACTACAATAAGTACAATTGCCACCTGTCACCATACAATGCTATTACAATGTTATAAATTGTAATTATAGTTGCAATTAGTTATCTTAAATTATGACAAAGTCATCTAGTTTCAGGTCTCTATCTTCACTACTTTTCTAGATAATATTTTTGGGGAAAAGACCATTGATATTTGTTTCCATCTAAATTACTTTAAACTAATGATTGATTTGGAAGAATCAATATGTGGACTTTCCATCAAAGCACATGGCATAAATATAAATATATTTTTTATATTAAATATTTCCATTGTATGTATTTTTAATTTCTTTTTTTTAAGTTTATTTATTTTGAGAGAGAGAGAGAGAGAGAGAGACAGAGAGAGTGCCACAAGCAGGGGAGAGGGGCAGAGAGGAGAGACAGAATCCCAAGCAGGCTCCATGCCATCAGTGTAGAGCCTGATGTGGGGCTCAAACTCACAAACTGGGAGATAATGACCTGAGCTGAGATGAAGAGTCAGACGCTTAGCCAGTTGAGCCACCCAGGTGCCCTTTTAATTATATTTCTTAATGAAGTTTGAAACATTTAAAAAATTATCACACGAAATTTATCTTAAGATTATCCTTGATTTTTTAGTCACTTTTCCTCCCAAAAGAACCCTTTTTGAAATTGTGTTTTTTAACTAGTTAAAATGGGGTTATTAATGACATTACCCAATAAATTATTTTATTAATAAATAAGTTAATAAGTAAAATGGTATTAATATATATATCTGACCATTGACTAGAATTTTAGAATGAACTGAAATTAATTTGAGGATGCAGACATTTTAAAGGCTGAGTAGAGATATCATTGAAGATGCTTCTATGCTTGACCAACAATGTATATACAGACAATGACGTACAATTGTCTAATTACATGTATTAGGTAAATGAAGAATGAAGAATCAATTACCATAAAAGTCTGTGAACAACTCAAAGTTAGGGATGGTTTCTTATTTATATAATTCTCTGTGAGGCCCTCTTTCTCTCCTATGCTGCTCCCTAAAACAGAATACCTACCTTAGTGCTGAGCACATAACAGATACCCCAAATTAAGGGTTGATTCTACTTGTTTCTTTAATATGGTTTCTTTATTTTTAAGATTTATTGACTTCTCCAGCTTCTTGAACTACGTAACTTTTATCTAAATAACAGAGCATAAAGGAAAATATTTGGTATGAATGAGCTCTAGTCATACCGAGCTCTGGAACTATTTGTGAAATGTTATGACTAATAGGATGTTATTAAAATACATACCAGAAGAGGGCAGCACCACCAAGGCCCCCAATTGTCACATCAGTCAGACCGTCCCCATTTAGATCCATTTCTCCATGGATAGACTGGCCAAAAAATTTCAGTGTCTTGCCATCTCCACCTGACGCAATACGCTGTGAAAGTACCAACAGAGAGGTTTTATGCCAGAAGAGTATATTCAAAAACAGTTTTAAATACATCTGAGAACTTGGATTGGTTAACATAATATTAAATTTAAAGACCTTTTGGAAAACTGCCCAAGAAGCCCCTCATGTGGAGACAAGATGAATTACTCAGATGTTACCAAAAGTTATTCTTTTTATAGTACAGACAAAATAATTTCAGGGTCACTGACACCAGAGAGAAAAAAATTATATAACGTCATCTTGTCTAATGCTCAAGGAAAACATTAGTGAGTAACTGGCTCTTCCTTTCTAGTTTCCACTCAGTCCCATAAAACAGAGTTATTTGAAGATACTGGAACCTTGAAAACACATCATACAAGCAAGAGGGGGAGTAGATGTTTGTCCTAGGGGTCAGTTTAGGGGTCAATGAATTGGGGGGCTGGGTATAAATAGCACATTCCATCAGATACATTTTCCAATATATGATCTTCTTTGTTAAAGGTCAAGGGCACTATAAAATCGATAGGCACAAATGAATATGGAGTTCTTGAACATTGATTTGTGCACACTGTGTACACCCATACATAGTGTGTTTAAAAGTTGTACTTCCTGGTTTAGCTTTGACTTAAGCTGATAACATGTATATTTTTAATTTTAGAGAGAGGGAGAGTGAGAGAGAGAGAGACAGAGGAGATTCCTGAGCAGGCTACACACTTAGGGAGGAGCCTGACGCAGAGCTTAATCCCACAACCCTGGGATCATGACCTGAGCTAAAATGGAGAGTTGGACGCTCAACCATCCAGGGGCCCCTAAGCTGATAATATTTTCATAGAACTGATAGCAAGAAGAAAGGACTGACAGACCCTCCCTAAACTTGGGGGTCTTCTTATCCTCTTGTTTTTCACTTAAAAACCATAAATTCAGAAGCCAAACAAGGCAAACCAATAGAAACATTTTTCATGCTTAAATATTTGTGGCTCATTGGGAAATATTTCCTTATGTTTTCAGGAAACAAATCAGGAGATATCAGCCTCATTGGTTCTAGAGGAGTTCATTCAGTTTGATTCTGGATTATTCCCCACACAAGCAGCACCTCTGGTTACCATGGAAACAGGTAAGCACACCCTCACCTATCCTTGGGAAAGCGTTTTTCCAATAATTAAGCAAAATCAACTCTAATATTCTTTCTTGTGGTTATTTAAAGCTGCATCTTGAGTTAGCCACCATTTTACAAAATAAATTTCTTATGACAGTCTATTCCTATTATTAGTGATTTAAATATCCTCTTGTTTCTACTGCAAATGCCATTCCACTGAATTTTCAGGATTAGTAGTGAAGGAATAAAGTGGTAGGACACAAGAAAGAAACTCCTTCCTGCAATTCCTAATTGCGTCACATTCCCGTGGTTAATATTGTCTGTTTTCAGTTAAGTAATACCATGAAATATTTGCTTTGAAAGAAACAAATAATTTACTGAATGGATGGAAGTGTTGTTACTGAAACATGCCCTTTACTTTATTGTTTCATTAATGTCATTATGGCTTTATGAAAAATTAAGTACAACTTCACAATACATGAATGGATTTTGAGAATTCTCTTGACTACAGTATGGAGAGAACAGTCAAATATAAAAAGAAATAATTGATGTCCCAATTTTCTTTTCATGTTATATAAGTAGTTCAATGCCTAACTACCATGGTTACTTAAAAATCAGACAATTACATTAGAAGAATTCCTTTAAACTCTTCTGTAAATTTGTATTTTGCTCATGTAGGAAAAAATTACATTTATGGATTAGAATCATTAACTGACAATAAATTTAAACAAGAACAACAGAAAATCCCTTGTAGGTTAAGCTTAGTTATTCAGATTTTTTTTCTAGGAGGGATTACTTGTGAGGAAATTATAAACCTTCAGGAACACAAATTCATTTGATGAAAATATACTAATTTAATTCATAAATATAAATGTAATGCAATTTCATTACAACAGCATGGATACTGAATATAAATACAATAATCTCATCTTCTTTATTGGCTAAATTATATCATTATTGTTCTTTTATTTAGAAAGTGGTATCCTCTGGGGTGCCTCAGTGGCTCAGTCGGTTGGGCATCCAACTCTTGATTTTGGCTCGGGTCATGATCTCACGGTTCATGGGTTTAAGCCTCGTGTTGGGCACCATGTTGACAGCACAGATTCTGCTTTGGATTCCCTCTCTCTCCCTCGCTCTCTGCCCCTCACCTGCTTGCTCTCTCTCTCTCTCTCTCTCTCTCTCAAAACAAATAAATAAGCTTTTAAAAAATAAATAAAAAGAAAGTGGTAACCTCTGTTTAGGATCAGGCACATTGCAAATGTTAAATAGTGTCATCATAAAGTGTTCTTTTGTTTTTTACCATTTTGAAAGCTCAGATCATGGAGCCATGGCAAAAGAAAAAGCAGAAAAAAATAGAAAAGAGGATAAAATACAAAAAAATGCTTCTATAAAGAAAACTTAAAAAGGAATTAAATCTAGTTTTCCAATAGAGTCAGAAGAAAAAAAAAAAAATAACTCATGAAGCAAGACAAGAAGCAAGCCTAGCATTGAACCCGCTTAATGTTTAAGGGCGGGAATAGTAGGTTGAACTTCTTACTTGTGCATACTCTTGCCTTATAGTCTTTCCACTCCCATGATAAATGTACACGGCTCCCCCATGATCATCTTCCAGGGGAGCTCCTATCACAATGTCATCAAATCCATCAAGATTGAGGTCTCTCACAGCAGCAATAGCTGTTCCAAAACGAGCCCCACACGGCTCATTTTTGTTTTCTTTAGTGCATGAATTGTGCTTCAGAGATGAACAACAAGTCTGCTTAATGGGTTCCAGGCTCATTTGATATTCAAACCTTGTCTGGAAGAAAGATAAACAGGATACTTATGAATTTCTATCGTTACAACAGCACAGTGAAATTTTTAAGTACGTACTAAATCAGAGCTATTAAAAACCATTTGTATATCAACAGTAAAGTTTGTAAAATTTCTTAAAAATTGTGGTTATCTGAGAGCAAAGTTAAAGATTTTAAAGAACAGATTGTAGAAGTGTGGGGAAGAAGACATATTGAGCATTTTAATGGATTCTCTTTTTAATGCAATCAAGTGACTATATAACTCACAGCATGCTTTTAAAACCAAATAACTGAATTTTTAAACCCTCAGTTCAGGTTGTTATCCTTTCTTCATCCAATATTTGCTTCTCTGAAAAGTCTCTATACAGTCTCCTCCACAGGGTAAAGAGAAAATTTACTCTATTCAAAAAGTAAGCTTTTCCCAAAGCTATCTAGGGCAACCCCCGTGCACACACCCCCCCCCCCAAACTCAGTAAAGGTCAGAAAGTACTAGTAATGATGGACAGGAACACACTTTCTAGGAAAACAAGGAAAAACAGCAAGGACCAAAGAAATTTATGGGAGGAAGCAAACAAAATGATAGGAAGAAAGGTATACAATTTATGAATTAAAATAATTAATATGGAGAGACTCTAAGAATTTAAAAAGCTAAAGAGATAAGTACTGACTTTGCTGTAAAAAGCAAAAACCCTTCTAACAAAGACATCAAGAATTATTTCATCTACAAATGATGTCGAAAGTCAGGAGTGGAAAACAAAACCTCACTCCAGCCCAATGAAGTATTCCAAAGACCAAAGTAGTTTACTGTAACTGTCTGATGTCACTGCCTTAAAATTCACTACTCCACAGTCTCTCTGCTTCCCTAGCTTTTTTGGACAGCTAATGCAGTTTTAACTGCTAATGTTCCCAACACCTCCAGGCCAGAGCCTTGAATGGTTGCCCTGTGAGTTTATTTAGCAGTTTAGTGAGATTTATATTTATCTCTATATATTCTGCTAAAAAAGGATAGTTCACAATTCCAAGCAGAAAGCATCCAATGGTTTGAACTACTTTATTAGAACTGTAAAATATTCATTTAGAAATGGAGGAGTTGGTGACGGTAAAGGGGCCTGAAAGATTCTTTGCTCCTTTTTCCAAAGTGAGTACAAAATTAGAACTGCATTATTTATTTGAAATTGAAAACAAGGAAGAGATATTCACGAATTTCTACCAAATGCAGAGTGATCATTACCTGATTCAGGGCATACACATACACTTTTCCTTGTTCCTCTTTCTCTGTTCCCATGTACATGGGAGCCCCAACCAGAAGAATGTCAGTATTAGAATCTTTATCAACGTCAAGTGTGGTTAAAACACTGCCAAAGTAGGAACCAATCTAAGGTACAAAACAAAACAAAATAGTGTGATGAACATCAGAAATTCTCAAGAGAGCTAAAGGCTGCATTTCTTTTACTTATAGCAATCTAGAAGAGTATTTGAAATTCAGATATATATAGAAATAGAAATAAAATACAGGAACAGATTCTACCTGGAAGCTCTTTATTGGTTCTTGTGGGAGGCTAATAAATAGACCCATCCCTGAGGATGAGCAGCTGTCATAGATTCTGCAGCTTGAGAGTAAGAGAAATGGCTTCCTTTAGATTTCATCCTAAACACTCTTTCTTCTCCAAAAAGCAGAAAAGATCAGTAATGCCACCATGATTTTGTTAAAGAAAATAAAATGAGAAAAACAATAAAAGGCATTCTGGGATGGCTTCAATATGTTCATTTACAGTAATACGAAAATGTGAATAATATACAGTATGAGGAACTGATTTGTCTTGGAACACTGATGTAGCATTTCACCTTGTAGATTTAGAAAGTTGTTTATTCGACAAAATGGCTAAGTCTTGTCCTAGCACTTGTGGAAGATAGAGAAATATAAAAGGATTGCAGAGGGACCATCTTTTAAAGATACGGATGTATTTTAGGGAAATGCAGGAGACTTACTCTTCATTATCTAAATGCAATAACCTTCCCAAATATTGACCTGGGTTTAATATTTGATGCTCTTGATAATTCTCTTACTGAAACTTCCTGTCTTGGCTTCTATTATTTTAATTTTGGTCTCTTGATTCTGCCACTGTATCATAGGCCACCCTTTGTTTTCATCTTTGCTGGCTCCTTTTTGTCCTCCCATGCCCTAGATTTTGGCTTCCCAAAAGCTATGACCTGCATTCCTCCCCCACCCCCACCACTCACCCTGCCATCTCTTATCCTAGATGGCCAATCCTTCCAAACACTTCCATTACTGAAAATTGCAAATTTCTTTCTATCTTCCTTCTCAAGGTTCCAGTGCTACATTCCCAGACATTGGTAGACACTTAGAGAACTGCTAGACATTGACTTTCAAATGTCCTTTTCTCATAGGTTGTGAAGGGCTTAAAAGGTGTTTTTTTTTTTTTTTTAAGTTGAATAATTACAAACATAAATAAAATGCTGTAAGATCTGGCAACCTTGGGCCTTTATTCCCACAGGGCGATAGCCGTCTGGAGCTGAGTGGGAACTAAATGTTAAGATGACTCAGGAACTGTCCAGGCCATGGTTCCCACCATTTCCTGTTGTCCTCTGTGCAATAGCTTTATTTATTTACTTTACCTTCCTGGCACCCATAATCATTTGAATTTGTGCTCACTGTTACAGGAAACATGTAAAACCAAATACCATTAAAAACATACCTAAACCACTTGAGTTGCTGACATTCTAATCATGGTGCCACCTTTCTCCCAGATTCCCAGGCTTGAAACTTAAACCATTCATAATACAAATCATTTGTGACTTTCACAAGCAATTCTTCACTTCCTGTCTCGTAAACCATTAATAGAGTAATATCAGACGTACGATGTCATACAGGATGCGTCATTTTAGAGTCCTGTCAGTCCCTCCTCATTTGTGTCTACTCTAGTCCTTCCTTTTCCATTTTTATTGGTGATACATCATTTTAGGCTCTCCTCACCTTATCCTTGAGTGACAATAATAGCCTTGTTTTTATTGTTGATGCATTTTCTGATTACAAATGTGGGCAAAGTGCTAATAAAACCCTTTAACAAGACATATATATATATATATATATATATATATATATATATATATGAATCTATATATGAGATTCTGACTTTTGGTTTACTCTCTGCTCCCCCAGACATCTGATGGGGAAAGGATTTCAATTACATCATTAAGCAATCCTGAGTGTGGTAAAAATAATCTCTGATCGGGGATGCCGCATTTAGGCTGTGGGGAACTATAAACACCTGATGGGCTTCCCAGGATGCAGTGACTATCACAACTACGTGCCCTCAGCAGGAGCCCTGGAAGCTGTATCTATGGTGTTGTTATAAAAGATATTGGCTCCTATAAAGAGAGGGTAGCTCTGCGCCTGCCTGACATGTCTGTCTCCTCACACCGAAGCGGTTCTGCTAGGCTGGGGAGTTATGAGCGTGCCTGCAGGAGAGGAAGGCTCACACTGCCCTGCCTTTTGGAGTGGTTGGTGATGGCAGGAGGGTGGCCGGGGCATGTAGTAAGCTGGGCTACTTAGCGAAGCCCAAGTGATTGCTGTGCCATAATAACCAACAGCGTAGATGTTTCTTTTAGTTTCACAATATTTACACATATTTATGTTTGCATATTGTGTGAATAACTTCTTAAACTACTTTTGGTATTTAATATCATCTAACGAGAAGATTTTGATTTTACATGTTATCACTTTCCACTACCTCCAGGAGAAAATCCAAATTCTTTAGTTTGCCATTCAGAACCTCAACAATCAGGGTCCACATTATCTTTTTAACTGGCTCTTCTGCTCTTTCTACCTATCTACGGTCTACCTTTCCCTCTAGACAAGCACAAATGTTACCTGGTATTAAGACTTCTGGCACCAATCCTAGAGTAAAACATTCTTTCCATCTTTAAGATGTACTGTCTGTGCCACAGGCATTTTCATGCTTCTTAATGTTTTAGAACTTTTTTCCTGTATGTATATATCTATCCATTTGTATCTACAGCATCATCTCTACGTTTTACCTCCATTTCCGTGCAACTGAAATGTTCTGGAAGCCAAATATGCAGATATTTTACATTCCTACAAGGAACCCAACACGGGGCCCTGTTTAAGTTTGATGTTGAATATGACAGGACTTTTTGAAGTTTAGGACAATAGATGGGTAATTTAAATTTACATAGAGTGTAAATGGATTAAAACAATAATTTTTCAAGCTTACCTGCTCTCCACTGAGTGTCTGGAGAATCCTGATGTCTCCATCTTCCATCCTGTAGATGACAACCTGGCCCGTGTGATTGTACCGTGGCTGTCCGGCAATGTAGAGCACATCTCCCGAAACCGTGGCGGAGTTCACTGTGTAACCTAACAAAAGAGAGATGCCAGATATACTATCTGACTCCTTAATGTCTACACAGAATAAATTAAGATCCACTTTAAAGGGCTGGGAGGATCATTTGTGTATTTTTACGGACTTCTCTCTTTTTTTTTTTAAATGTTTATTTTTTTTAAGGCAGGTAAGTTTGTCTTGGTGGAAGCTTTTAGCATGCTCTCTGATTATCTACAGCAATTGCTTTGTCCACCCCCCACCTCAGGTTTTCATTGTTTAAAGGCACAAATGATATAACAATCGTGACAGAAGAAGAAAATAAAAAAAAAAACCTTCATAAACTCAATTCACCACTTTGTAATAAATCAATTGTGCTTCATCTGGACAGATATGTCTGTGCTACAGAAATTAAACATTTTATATAGGGGAATCATAGCAAATGTAAGCCTTTTCTGCATTATTGCTGTAGATTTTTAAGCAGTAATGTGAAGTAACTGAAGTTTATCACTCCTAGTTAAGGCATAAAGGCATTGCGTTTCTACTGCAGGACCATTCCCCAATAGAGTAGTAGAATTTTTAGGTGGTTTTTAATTTTCTGATATTATACTTAAGCCTGCAAAGACATCCTTGAACACTTAACATTTTTACTTCTTTTGGATTTTCTTTGATGATAAATTTCAAGGAATAGATTACTGGATCAAATTTTCAGTTCTTTCAGTGTCTGGCAAATTGTTTCCAGAACATTTGTACTAATTTATTCCATGCACAGCCAAAGGACAGACTAGTTTCATCAAACTCTCCCAAACATTGGGTATCATTACTATTATTCAAATTTGTGGATGTTCTAATAGATATTAAGCATAATCTAACAATAATACTTCACTGTGATTTTAATTTGTATTTGTTTGATTACAAAGAGGTGTAGGGTGGGTGGGTTACACAGGTGATGGGGATTAAGGACGGCAGTTGTTGTGATGAGGACCAGGTGCTGTAGGGAAGTGTGGAATCACTATATTGTACACCTGAAACTAAAATTACACTGTTAGCTAACTGGAATTTAAATTTAAAAAATGAGCTTCGACATTCCTCTTTTTTAATTGGGTTTTCTTGCCCATTACATTTTTTTGTGTCTTGAAGGCAGACTATTGTTAATTTTTGAGTGAAGAATTAGATTTATTCCTTGTGCTTGTAGGGAACAGTGCTAAATCAGTGAATAACAATTCTCCTGTGCTGATTTCAACTTTACAGAAGGAAGAAGTGTTCTTATAACCAGATCTGTCCATCAGTGGATCAGAGGGCAGATTATTTTTCCAAAGGCCACAGAACCGCATTTCTTACTAAGAAAAAAGATTACATTGACAATTTATTTTCCAAGTGTTTTCCTGCAAGGCAATAGTTTCACTTTCTTACAGAACTTCTGAGGAGGAACAGAGGTTTTTGTACTAAAATATGTTTAATCTTACAAGTGCAAAAGGAACACAATTCCTCAGGCATATTTTCCTTCAGGCATATTTTCTCCCATTCTCATTTCTTCATCTTTCTTTTAGCTTCTAAAAAAATTATACATAATAAATTGTAGACTGTTCTTTTTCAAACAATTAATGTGTCATAATTCTTCTGTTACTAACCACAATATTGCTTAAAAAATAAAAACTTTAAGGTCATGTTTATATATAAATAAAATAAAAAAGAAGAATGTGCAAAGCAAAGGCTGTTTTATTTCATGTCATTCTACTAAGAAATATTAAGCAAGGATTGGCCTAAGGGAGTTAGTACACTTTGTTTTTGTTTTTGTTTTTTTACCTTACAGAGCTATGAATGCAAACTGATAAAAGAACCTTTAAAAAAATTAAAAATTATGTTTGAGGTTTGGAGTTGTGTGATAATTTAGTTAGTTTTGATAACTTGATAACTAAAACTATTAGCTGAAATCTTCCCAGAGACAGTACCTACTGGTCAGGTAGTTACTGGGTGGAAGCTTAGGAATCCAAAGACAATAAAGAGGGAGAAAAAAAGGAGGCCATGTAAATAAAGTCTAGTTTTCATGAAAGGAAAATAATTATACACATCTAAGTTTAATGTTGTCTTCTGAAAGAAAAAAAGAATTGAAGAGAAAGGAAAATGCATGGCATAGCCTGCTGCATGGATTTATAAAGAATAAGTCCTGTCAGCTTTCACAATTCACTTCCTGGGAAAAGTGCTAGGACCTAGTGAGGTAATGGGAAACAGGTATGCTCTGCTTTGATGTCATGTGTTTGTTTGCCTCACATCTTTACATTTTTTTTTTGAATTTGTCTGGCATGATTAGAAGTGGGAAGACTGTAGGTGGAGGAGGCAGGGAACTTTGACTGTATTCTCACCATCAAAAACACTTGCTAAGTGCATACTGGCCTAAAGCAGTTCCTGGATGACTGACTATATCATGAGAGGTTCGACAACTTCTGTTCCTACTTCTTTCTGGTCATTATTGATTAGTATGAGATTGTTTTGTTTTCTCCATAAGATTTTCCATTGCCTAATGACTTACAATCCACATAGATTTCAGACTAACATATACAAGCTCTTTTTATTTTTCTTAAAAAAAAAATGTTTACTTATTTAGTTTTGGAGAGGGAGAGAGAGAGTGTGTGAGCGGGTGAGGGGCAGAGAAAGAGGGTGAAAGAATCCCAAGCAGACTATGGGTGTGCTGTCTGCAAAGAGCCTGACTTGGGGCTTGATCTAACAAATCCTGAGATCATGAACTGAGATGAAATCAAGAGTCTGACTCTTAAGTTACTGAGCCACCCAGGCACCTTCAAACACTTCCTAATTCGTAATCCACACAGGCAGACATTTTGAAATTCTCATTTCAGATTTAGATTAATATTTGGGGTACAAAGCTATTTTTCTCCCCTATCCCCTTTCTGGGTGCTTTTCTATTTTAAAATAAATTTTATATATCTTAAATGTTATGTTGGCAAAATATCTTATGTGCTAACTTGTGATTAATCTAATGAAATGAATTCTAAAATATAAAAACATCATCTTAGTACATTGTAGACAAAGTACCCCCAAATTTCCTTTTTTGGGAAGAAAGGAATCATATGTTATAAATACTGTGGTCAGGAATGAAGGTTGTCTTAATTTTGTCTTGTTCCAGTGATATCTTTAAGTCTTGAATTCTCCAAGTCTGCTTTAAGCACCATGAATCCAAGCTTTTGGGGGATAATGGATTTAGGGTTCCTAAGACTACTTGGTTTTAAGGAATTTCATCACATAACAAGAAGTCAGAATATAAAAAAATACTACAGTATTATTAAAATGTGTGAACTTAAGATTTGTGGACTTCATGCTGTATCTTTAGTTTTTTAAACGTTGTTAATTTTGAAATGAACACTGGAATAAGAATCAAGATACCTAGATTCTAGTTTCAGGTATGTCATAGGTAGCTGTGACATCATTTTTCAATTCCTTAATATCTTAATTTGGAAAATTGGATATTAACCATATGCTAACATTTCTTCTAATGCATATGAATTTTAGGCCCACCCTCTTTGTGTTACAGCACAATCCTCCAAATATTTAAAAGATATGCAGTGTATATTTTGTTTCCTAACCATCAATTTCTTCAAATTTTGCAGACATTGGGGAAGGAAAGAAAGGAATTTTTTCTAGATCAGTATCCTTTAGATAATATTTTATTGGCACATCCTGGTTTAGCATTTTCTTTTGTAATGTGTGATGTTTAGAACAATGGAATGTTCTAGCTGCTCTCTGACCAGGACAGAATGTAATAGGAATTTTATGAGAAATAAACTAGACTTTCATGAATGCAGTTCAGCATGTGTTAAGGGGTTTAACACTCACATTGTATGTACTGCTTACCACTGTAGTTTTAATTATCTAAATCCCTCAGGCCTTTCATTTTTAAGTCCTACCTGCCTCTACAGTTTTAAGATATGTCTTTGAATAAGGAAATGTATGGACCTACCAGTAAAGACCTCCTACCTTCCTCATAAAATAGAAAGAATCTGGATAGAGAGAAAAAGACTTGCCTCCAGGACAGAAAGATCCCAGAGAGGAATGCTAACATACTAAAATATGAACACTGAAAGTATTTGTTTCCTTAACCGCTGCACCTCCAGCACCAAGAAAATACCTGGGGCAAAACAGGTGTCCCTCAAACATTTGTTGAGTGAGTAAAGTGTTGGGAAACCATATTCTGAGGGTTCTTTTCATCCTAGGCCCTAATTGTTTACTAAGATCATTTAGTGATAGAACACTTCCCTGGTATCCCCTAGGCAGCTCAGTACAGATGGAGAATAAGGTGATAACAGACACGTACCTCCTCATTCCAGAAAAGTCTTTGAAAAATAAGATGACATTACATCATGGGCTTAAGTTCAATATTTGTCTGGTTGTGAATAGAACTATTAAAGAAGAAGCTATATGACAAGACAAATTAAAATTTTATTTTCCAAAATTAGGACTCATAGAAAGAAATGATATAGGATGTTTTAGAAAATATGGGAGTCTGATCTGCAGGATATTAGCTGTGTCAAGGTTTCTCTTTTTACCATCATTTCCTGTCCACCAGGTGCAAAGCTCTTCTTGAAGTTAATGAGAATACCAGACACAGGGAGACTTCAAAAAGTGCACATATCAGCCTAAATCATTCCTGCACTAGGGAGCCCTTCTGAGAAAGTGTGATCTCCATGTTCTAAGATTGCTCAGAAATTAAGGCTGCTTGGGAACTTTCAGGGCTCCTACAAAATGTCTAGCTCTTGGAAGTTATCAGTCTTCACATGGTTATAAGTAAACCTATGTAAATATAAGCAAATAATGCTAAAAATAAAAACAAAACCAAAAATAAACCACAATAATTTTCTATCAATTACATCTAAACTTTACCTAAATAAGAAGCAAGTGGTTCATTCTTTTTGGTAGACTCAACATTAAAGGTTGTGTTTTGAGGGATTATGATTCGATTAGCCTTCTGCATGACGACTGTTCCATTCCAATCATAGGCTCCTACTGCTCCAAGCATGACCCAGTCCTTATATCCAAATAGAGAAAACAAATGACATTTAACAAAGTAGCAAGAACACAGCATTAACAATATGATAGATTCTATTCAAAGTGCTTTACATATATTAACTTAGAATCCTCACAGTAATACTATGGTAACCTGGTAGAGTAACTTGCTCTCGGTTATACAGTACAATTGCCCAGTGAAATGTCAATATTCCTTTGCAGGGACTCAGATGCATTTTTTTTTTCATCAGCTACAAATGATATATTTCCTAATCTTGTCTTTCTGTTTGATTCTGGGTGTCAAGAACCCTAGGTCTTGAATATGGTATTCTAATAAGATCTTTAAATACAATGAGATTGAGAAAAAGATACAATTCATATCATTAGCAACCATTTTAAATTAAGTATTTCATTTAGCCAGATGTATAATTACATAAGGCAGACCTCAAAATGTTTGATTCACAATTATTAGTACGATATAGTGAACTGTGGGATATAACATGTTTTCCTAATATGCTTGTGAAATGCCATTTTCCTACTTTGATTAGAAACATCATCACAGTCTGAATAACTGGGCAAGCCATGAACTGCTAGTTGCACTTATAATGGTGATGCCTGGGCATTGTTTTTGGGAGCAGAAACCTTAAAAAAAATTATTCATTTTCTACCAAGTGGTCAATATACCTGTGAATAATGAGCACTGAAGCCAGTCTGAGACATTTCCATTTCAAATGAAGCTGCTGACTGGTCAGCTGTAGCTTTAACAGAAAAATAAATGACTTTTAGCACACTTGATTTGGAGAAGACAGAAACAAATTACAGACTGGGCTCTTTACCAACCAGAATTTCCAACATCTTTTGGGTATGTTCAGCCACACATTTCTCAACCCCAAATTCCTATGTAGGGCTGGGTAAAGGACAGAGAAGGTTAGCAGAAGGGCCGTGGCTAGATTCTTGACCATTGGCTTCCCCACCCTTGCTGGAGAAGTTGAGAAATGTCCATTCATGCTTCTCCTCCTATACTCTAGCATACTTGCGGATGATATGGCACTTTGGATCCATGTGGTTAAATTCAAAAGTACTGAAGTTGAAAACCTCCTTCTTCTTCTCACATTGTGGGAATCCTGTTCAGACATTAGCCTAAACTTACCCGATATGTTACAGGGCTAAAAAAATCTTTATTCACATATTTAAAGAAGTCTCTTGACTCTACCAGGTCCACTTGCATTTCCAGGTACAGATCCTCTTGGAATTCCATTATGTGATAAAGACTGTAGGGATTCTGGGATTGTGTTTTCTCTAATTTCTGGTGGTAGGTATCACTCACAAATTCAAAGGGGACTTTTTGATGGGTTTTTGGCCACATACCATTCAATCACATATTTTTTAAAGAATCTGTGCCCTTTTTCTTTCTTTCTTTCTTTCTTTCTTTCTTTCTTTCTTTCTTTCTTTTTCTTTTTTTTTTTTTAAATTTTTTTTTCAACGTTTATTTATTTTTGGGACAGAGAGAGACAGAGCATGAACGGGGGAGGGGCAGAGAGAGAGGGAGACACAGAATGGGAAACAGGCTCCACGCTCTGAGCCATCAGCCCAGAGCCTGACGCGGGGCTCGAACTCACGGACCGCGAGATCGTGATCTGGCTGAAGTCGGAGGCTTAACCGACTGCGCCACCCAGGCGCCCCTCTTTCTTTTTTTTTGTTAATGCTATGTAAAAGGTTCAGGAGCAAGCATTAGGTATTTAAGCTCTTTACTGAAACGCAGAGATAGTCCAGAGCATTCCATGGAAAAATATGCTACTCTCAAAATATTTACCGACCCAAAGCCACAACCTCCTAAGGGGATCGAGGGAATGTTGATTCATTTGCTTTCAGTGGGGAGTTACTGATTTATTTGGCTTTGAAAATAAGTTAAAAATAGTGCATGATTTTAAGAAAGTCAGTCTGCCTTCTCATTGAGGCATGAGAATAATTAAATTTGTGAAATCAAACTTATTTACTAGTTATTTCCTGGCATGAATTTGTTAACAAATACATCAGTGATTGCTTTTTTATAGGACTAGGTTAAATGGGGATATCAATCAAGAATTCCAATACATCATTTTAATCTCACGTATGAATTATCCCCTAATTTAAATGACAGAGGTGCACTTTAACTTTATTTTAAATCTGATTTATTTATTTTAAATAAATATTTATTTATTTATTTTAAGTCCACAGTACTTTATGGTGCCTTCTTATTTATCTGTGCAAGACCATTGCAAGAGCACAGCAGTGAATACCTGCATGCTTCCAGTACCTTCTCCTGCTGCTGTTCTGCTTATAGCTGAGAATAGAGAGAAGGGAGTTTTGTGACAATCCTCCTGCTGAATCATCATCATGGTAATAGCCCCTTGAGCATCCCTGAACTTCTTGCTGTCAACTCCTCCCCGAACTGTTCATAAGTACTGACATAACCACTCTCCCACTGTGCAGGTTAGGCATTTTAGCATTTCTCCCACGTGCTGGGAAAGGAAGACATGGAACCTTTCTGAGTTCATTGGGCAAGTTGGTGACCTGTTCTCTTCACTAGGTGGCACTGTCGTTGGCAAGGAGGAATTTCATAATTGCTGCTCTTTACCATCTCAAGATAAATGTTGATAGGAAATGGACACTTCCCAAGTAACAAGGAAATGAAATCCTTTCTGATCCCAGTTATGAAGAAAATCAGTCAAAACACTGCGTTTGATTAGCTCTGAAAGTGTATCAGTAAAGATGTGGTAGACATTTTAATCTGAGGACATTTTTTAAAAAATTCACTTTATGTATTTAGTTTTATTTATTTATTTATTTATTTATTTATTTATTTATTTATTTATTTTGAGAGAGAAAGAGAGACAGCACGAGCATGTGCATGTGAGTGGGGGATGGATAGAGGGAGAGAGAATCTTAAGCAGGCTCCACACCTAGTGCAGAACCCAATGCAGGTTCAATCTCATGAATGTGAGATCATGACCTGAACTGAAATCAAGAGTCAGAGGCTTAACTGACTGACCCACACAGATGCCCCCCAGATAATTTTGCTTTTAAATATACAGACTTCTTAAAGTGTCTGGGCATTCCAACATGTAACCTTTAATTCATGGTATGGTTAGTTTAGAAGCAACACAAAAATGTCATTTAAGGTAAATTGGGCCCTTCTTCCCCCAGTAGCTGATGTAGGTAGACTTCATTTATAGAAGTCCTACCAGGTTATACTTACTTGCTTACTTAAGATGAGTTTAAAAATGAGACAGTATTGTACTTACTATGTAACTAAGTAATTTTTCATTTAAATGGTCTTTACAGATTGTTTATATCACATCTTAAAACTTATTACAATTATTAAAAATTAAAAGTACACAATGACTTGGAAAACTTTGTATATTTCCTTCCTTAAGGCCAGCGAAGCTTATGGTCTGGCCTATTAGTAAATGCCACTAGGAGCTGCTGTGAGACCAAAGCCACTTAAAACTGACTTGTGCACAGAATGCAGGACAGCCAAGTTCTTCAGAAGCAGCTGTGACTTCAGACAGATAAGTAATTCAAGAGTTCTGTTTCTAAAGGCACAGGGGAAAAGCAGCCAGGGCAGAAAGGAAGAGAAATGAAGTCCGCATGGGCTGTAGCTGTTCATCAAATCTAACCCAAATCTCCTACTTACTAGTCGTGATCCAGTCATGAAATCGGCTGGGTGAGTCACCACCAGCATTTTTTTAATTAAAAGAGAAAATGAAAACGAGAACCTATCAGAGTGCTTTGCATATAATAAGGGTTATTCTGTTAAAGGTTTTATTTTTATTATGTATACATGTATGTGCACTGGGTCATGCAGAAGTGGAAAAATTTTCCCTTCTTCTCTTCTAGATTCCGTGGCTGGTTTAATAATTAAATTGAGCTAAAAAATTAGTCAATTTACTTTTTAGAGGAAAATTTAATTTCATATGGGAACCCCCAAACTATGAGACTGAAGGGCAAGTGGAGGTGGTGGAGACTTATATGATGCCATCTTGACCTACGGAATGGGGTAGGGGCCTGGGGCTTCAAAGGGAGGAGCATAGTTCACAGTATATAAGAAGAACAGATGTTTGGTAAGTAGATGTTTGCCCTGCTATGCAGATAGGTCTTTAAAAAGTTCTCTCTGGTTATACCTTTTATTCTGGACCAGGCCACCTATGTGAATTCTTTTAGGTTGTTAAGGGAGAGGTAAAAGTTCTTCCTGAATGGGCTGGAACTTGATTGCCTTCAGCTCAAAATAATCTACATGCCAAAGCAACATATTTTGGGATGGCCTATTTTGCTCCCCTTTAGTCACAAGGAAAAGTGTATTTATTATCATGGGTCACTGTCATATAAATCTTGAAAGTCATTACTCTAAAACATTTTCCTTCCTTTCTATACATTTGAATATTCTGTCTGTTGGTCACTTTTCTGCATTTTCCTGGTCACTTGATGCTCAAAATGGTCCACCTTGTTTCAGTTATCTCTCTTTCTCATTTTATTTCTCTGTTTCCCAGTATCAGGTCGTGTTTCTCATTATCAGGTCACATCAGGGTGACTGAGAAAGTGCTCATGAATTTCTATGTTTAAGATACAAAACAATAGTTCTTCAGTGTGTCCTCACAAGGACAGAGTCCATTGGATTCAGATAAGGGCATAAAAACAGAACTCTCTGGAGGTTTCTCATCCTAGGTTGAAGGAAAGATGCACGTTCTCTTAGTCTCCAGTTAACAGAGAATATGAAGGAGGAGGCTTTTTTGTTTGCCTGGCATAACAATTCCAAAAACTTTTTTTTCCTTTTTTTTTGGTCAGGCAAGGGCCAGTTCCAAAAGAATTTGATACTTGACCTCTTCCACCTAAGGCAGGGGAAGGAATGCCATGATTTATTTTCTTCAGTAGCCAATTGCCATTGCAACATCCAAGAAAAGAAATCCACAAAAAAGTAATATGACTTAGACAAATATAGTGAACCAATGTTTTACTGCCATGGGAGTTAAGGCAGAGTTCCATAAAGACCTTTAAAATGGGCAAGAAGCAAAACGGGAGAAAATAAATGAACAATGAAGTTATTGCAAATAAGGACAGTTCTATAGAAGCCCAAAATAAAAAAAACAAATTAAAAAAGAAAACTTGAGCTAGCTCCTCCATTTTCTAAACCCGTGTCACAGAAAAGGGCTAAAACACGTGGACACATTTTTATTCTTGTGAGTCTACACTGATCATTACCTTCTTTCAGCCCTCACAGTAGCCCTGCCATGTGCTTACAAAGAGAGATGCCAACAGACACAGGGCTATGTGAGACAGCCATCTTGGTGACAGATTTACAGAAAGGGGCATTGTTCCATGCTGGTTATTGTACACAGTAAAAATGCATTAGTCGTGTAGAAGAAATAAACACCAAAAGGCCATTACATTTAATTGAATTGTAGAGAAAACATGCGGGAGTATGAGAAATAGTCATACCTTCCAGGGCGAATATTCTTTCTCCGAGAGCTTCAACAATAGTGACTAGAGCTAATTCATCAGAGACATTGAAGAAATGCTTTTCAGTGGGTTCGCTTGCAATTGATTTTATTTCTTCCACAAACTTTTCAGTGCTTAAATTTCCTCTGTTATAGCTCCCAAGAATCTAAGACATGACAAAAATGGCAAGGTTATATTTTAAATTCTGTATATTAATTAAGGATCTCAAGCATTTTGTCAACAAACAAGAGAGTGTATAGTACCTTAATATAATGAAATTTATGTACTTCCACATTTTTGGAAGAATAATTTTCAAATGTGAGATTTCCTAAAATTAACTGTTACATACTGTAATTGGTAGAGAAAACTACAAAGGACAATCTTATATGTTTCTTCTCTTGCATTACTGTGTGCTTGTTTATGAACAGCTATATCTTTAAAGTCTGACAGTTCAACAGTAATGTTATAGTTTCTGAATGTCTCTGGTATTATTCCAGCCTATGCCACCACCATTTGGTGGTAAAAGCAGTTAGCAAGTGAGTTACTTGATCTTGAGTAGGCAGTTCTTCCTGATACTCTTACCAAGAGCCAATCCCACACATATATTTTGAAAACAGATATTGAACTAAATAGAAATCTTACTTGGCAATTTCTGTTTAAAACCAAATTCTCAAGACACGGACATCTTGTTTATATATATATATATATATATATATATATATATATATATATACACACACACACACACACACACACACACACACAGAAGAGAGAGAGGCAAGAATTATCTGTTATAGTTAACTATAATTATTTAAATGTCTTAGCAGGTTTTCTCAAACATCTATTTTATTTTTTAGAGTAAGTTTTATTGAGATATAATTCATTAACAGTAAAACTCACCCTTTTTAGATACACAATTCTGAGTTTTGACAAGTCCACACAGTTGGGTTACTACCGCTTCAAAATTTAGAACTTTTCTATCAGTGTTCCTCTTGCCCCCTGTGGTTAATCCTTTCCTCCCCCTGACCCTTGCAACCAATGATATATTTTCTGTCCTTAAGGCTTTGCTTTTTCCAGAATGTCATATTTAAGAAGCCATATATATAGCATGTAGCCTTTTGTGTCTGACTTCTTTCACTTTGCATAATGCTTTTTTTTTTTTTAATTTTTTTCAACGTTTTTATTTATTTTGGGGACAGAGAGAGACAGAGCATGAACGGGGGAGGGGCAGAGAGAGAGGGAGACACAGAATCGGAAACAGGCTCCAGGCTCCAAGCCATCAGCCCAGAGCCTGACGCGGGGCTCGAACTCACGGACCGCGAGATCGTGACCTGGCTGAAGTTGGATGCTTAACCGACTGCGCCACCCAGGCGCCCCGAATGCTTTTGAGTCATTCCTGTTGCCCCATGAATCAGAAGTTCAGTTTTTTTTAATTGCACCCAAACTGGAAACAACTCAAATGTCCATAAACAATAAAGTATAGAACAAATCATGGTATATTCAAACAATGTATTATAGAACATGAACCACTGATGCACAAATATCATGGGTAATCATTATGTTGAGTGAAAAGCTAAACACAAAAGAGTATATACTGTATGATTTCATTTACATAAATAGAACAGGCAACTTAAGTGATGGTGATATAAGTCACAACATGGTTACTATAGAAGTGGGTATTAAACATGATAGGAAGTATAGGGAACTCTCTAAGGGTGATGGAAATGTTACATATCTTGATCGAGGTGTCAGTTACATGGGTGTATGTGACTATCTAAAGTCATCAAATTGTTCACTTTGTACATAATTTTCACATTGAAATCTTGTATTTCACTGTATGTAATTATTACTTTTAAAAAAACCAAATGAACTATAATGACATGAAATAATATGGATTAATTAATTAATTTAATTAATTAATTTTGAGAGTCAGAGTGCAAGCGGGGGAGGGTCAGACAGAGAGGAAGAAACAGAATCTGAAGCAGGCTTCAAGCTCTGAGCTGTCAGCCCAGAGCCCAACGTAGGGCCTGAATCCATGAACCGTGAGATCATGATCTGAGCTGAAGTCAGATTATTAACTGAATGAGCCACCCAGGAGCCCCTTTTTTATTTTAGAGAGAAAGAGAGAATGGAGAGGAGCAGAGGGAGAGAGAGAGAGAGAGGGAGAGAGAGAGAGAGAGAGAGAAAGAGAAAGAGAGTGAGAGAGCGAGAATGTCAAGCAGGTCCATGCCCCAACTCAGGACTCCATCCCACGGAACTGGGATCATGATTTGAGCCAAAATCAAGAGTCAGACACTCAACTGACTGAACCACTCAGGCACCTCAATCTGGATGAATCTTAACAACATTAAATTTTAAAAGTTTCAAAATACTATATGCAGCATGACACCTTTTTATAGAGTTAAAAAAAGGAACACTTCTAGATATGTATAGATACCAAAAGATTAGAAAAGGAGAGAAATAGATGAGCATAGATTTGGGCCTATGGTTACCAGGTGGAGGGCACCCAGGTGGTGAATGTGGTCAGGTCCATAGATGTTTATAGTGCATACTTACAATAAGTATGCAGGAACAATAATAAACACAAAAACCTATAAAGTGGCCCATGCTTCCACAAATGATGAGGTTTCCTGAACAAAGGATCATGATTAATTCAATTCTATGCTAGTGGAATCTAAAAAATGAAGATAAGATTCTGAGCTCTGTACTATTGCTTGATTTTTAGAATATCCTGCTCCTTGGGGACCAGAAGTAACGATGAAGATACCAGAATTTTCTAACTTCACATTAGATTTTTAAATCATAGACATAGATTTGTCTGGTATCATTAAACTGAGCCCATGGTGGCTTCAAAGTTCTGTTGGAAAACAGATACGCAATAGTCCCCAAGCACAGTTCAGCGTTGCATACTGGGCAGATCGTAGACACGTGGGTGGGCAGGCACAGGTGGAGACGTCAGTCTCGGTCTCCACTGGGTCTTCTGGCCACAGACCCCTGGCCCTCTCCTCTGAACACCCGGCTGCCCAAACTCTCCTTTGGCTGCCTGTTCCAGGCGTCTGCGTGTATTTTTTTTTTAAATGTGAGATTCAAAATGGTAGATTTAAAAACTGGTATTTTGGGGGCACCTGGGTGGCTCAGTCGGTTAAGCGTCGACTTTGGCTCAGGTCATGATCTCACAGTCTGTGAGTTTGAGCCCTGCATGGGGCTCTGTGCTGACAGCTCAGAGCCTGGAGCCTGCTTCTGATTCTGTGTCTCCTTCTCTCTGCCCCTCCTCCACTCATGCTCTCTCTCTCTCTCTCTCTCTGTCAAAAATAAATAAACTTAAAAAAAACTGATATTTTTATTAAGAAGGGTACAGCTTTTCACTTGTAGTTAGAAAAGAGCTAAAATTACTGTTTTTAAGTGTTGCTATTTATGATCTACAGCATACTTGTTTATTAGCATCATAAAACGAATGAGGGTTTAGATTAGTAAATGAATCATTAAAATGTTAACGGTAGGAATGCAGTTGTGTGACAGCTAGTCAGACAGGCCATGCAGCAGTTCTAGAGTTTTCCCTCCTAGTGAGAGGCGCTGGGAGATTCATTCTTGACCCCTTCCTCCTGCTTGAGTCACACCCTTGCCCCTTTCCCACAGCATCCCTGGGAAGGGTTCTGAGGAGTTCGCATTTGTACATTGCAGGTCTTCATCCACTTCCTTGTTCCTTCCTTAGGCTCTGTGTTCATCTGTAAAATGTGTGGGTGAGGCATAAAGCCCTCATGTCTGTGAAGAACTTTGTGCTGCTTTGAAGACGTGTGCAATTTAGGAATACTAGAGCTGGCTCTAAGGAAATCAGCAGACTAGTTGGGTAGCTTTTTGATTTTTGAACTTAACTCTTTACTACTTGTCAAGATTTCGGTAGGAAGGGCACTAAGAGGAGTTTGCAAAATTGTACCTGAACACAAAAATTCAGTACCTGTCTACTTGGCTGAAAAGCAAATGCAAACAACAGAAATAGTTTAAATCTGTGCTTTTCCCCACTTTAGCTACTTGATGGGGGAAGAGAATTAGTGGAAATGAATGTTGAGAACTGTCCAGATAGGGAGAGAAAACCCAAGGCCCACTTGCTCTTATTACATTGAAGAAATTCTAAGATGCCTTTCTTAAAGTTGAGTATTTCCCCACAGCTAGATGGGCATGCCCCAGAGAAAGCATGGCAAAGGCAGAGAGTGTCCAGCCTCCAGAGTGTCCATCATAACCGTGTGTCAGTTTCAGGATCACTGGAGTTTGGCTCAACACCTCACTCTACACCTGCTATTCTTCTCTGGACACACTGTTGGGTTTCTTCTTTGTCAGCAGTTTTGCTACACATGTATTTCTTTTAGATTCATACAAATCCTACATCACATGAAGAACCCTGAGTCCCCAATGTTTTACCTAATTTATACTATAAGTCATATGACACCCTTGGCAGAAAAGTCACCATCTTTCCTCCTTAATTCCTATTGAACATATTGTAGATTCACTTTTGCATTGACGTGTTCACTTCCATTTCACTTATAAAGTGATACAGTTGAAAATACATATAAAAATTATAAAGACGTTTGGACCATGCATGGTTCAAGGTTTGACCTTGCATGGCCGAGGTTCATAGTTGTAATGTAAATGTCAGACATTTAGTGCTCTATGTGACAGAGACAACTGGATAAAGTTCAGTGAGGAAAATGCCCAACTGACATACTTAAAGAATAAAAATAAAACAGATTCAACATGAGAATATATATTTAGAAGAAAGTGTAAAACAAAAAAATTCCCAGGAATTATTGTGACTTGCATCCAGTTTGAACTATTTGTATTACAGAATAAAAATAAAAATAGAAATGTGTTTTGATCCTTCACCCAAGGATCTGGTAGCTTGTAGAAACATTATTTTCTATGAATGAGAAGAAATACAAAATAACACTTATAAATTACTTCTGTTTCACTTTATACAAATATGTCAAGCCCAGGCATTTGGTATTCTGCTAATATTTACCTGAAGTAGACATCCAGAATTGAACCTCCCTTGAGGCAGATGTGTCAAATGTAAAGTGTACAATTCATTTACATGTACTGTAGTGCCTTTTGTGTGCAAATGAATGGAATGCTAAGATACTTTCTAACTTCTCTGATTTTCATTTGAATGCTGTAGATAATACACATTTCACAGCCATTATAATCCCAGCCATTATCATCCAGGATTAGAATATGAATGTAAAGCGGGCTCCTGCTAGCAGTGTCTAATATCCACAAGTGACAGAATACAAACCTTGGAACAGAATACTCACACCAGCTCAGGACCCTCACCAAATCTAAGAGTTTAATGGGACATGTTTGCTGTTTTATCATAGAGTGCTTAAATTTTCTTTTTTAAAAAAAAATTAATGTTTATTTATTTTTGAGAGAGAGAGAGTGCATGTAGGGGAGGGGCAGAGAGAGAGGGAGACACAGAATTCGAAGCAGGGTCCAGGCTCTGAGCTGTCAGCACAGAGCCTGATGCGGGGCTCGAACTCATGAACTGGGAGATCACGCCCTGAGCTGAAGTTGGCTGCTTAACTGACTGAGTCACCCAGGCGCCCCTAGAGTGCTTAAATTTTCAATGGTCAATTATTTTGGGGTCATTGTCTCCCATAAAACATGTCTGTGGTGTTCAAGATCAAATGGAGGGTAAAAAAAATGGAGTAGGAGAAACAGTCCAGGTGACAACAGTGGCAGACCCTCAACTATATTTGATCATGTGAAGCATGAATGCAGCTGTAGAAATGCCCAAGAATGCACAAGAAGAGGCAGTAAAATAACTGTCTTATTTCCTAGTTCAGCACAAACTAAAAAATACAAGGTTCACTGGGGACAAGAAATATGAATTGGGAAAATAACAATTCTTGAAGTGAAATTTTCTCATACATTATTTATAACATTTTGAAGAGCAATTTGATAATAATTCATTGATTAAAACAGGAAAGGAACTCATGATTTTATTATTCTCCTGGAAGATTAATGCAATTATGGGTAATATCTTATTCTCACTTACTGTAAATAAAAGAGATTTTGTGAAAACCAATTTAGGCTAAGCAGTTAGAGTTCTGAGATGTTTGTTTCCTGCCTTAATTAAAAAAAAACAATATATATTAAGAAGACTCCTTAAAGGGCACATGCTATTGAATCAAGAGTGAACGATTAGAAAGGAAGGCGGGACACAGTCGTTAGTTAAGGTTCAGAAGCTGAGAATAGGGTTGACAGTGCATGGGGGAGTCTCTGAAGGCTTCTGTGCAAGAGGGCAACACAGTTTATCTATAAAATTCCTTCTAGTTCTAAAGCACTATAATTTTATTACTTCATGGTTGTAAACTGCTTCAGTTAAAGATCCTTAAGAAAAATAATATTTATTGGTTGCCTAGCCTGCCATTGTGCTAGATGGTTTCACAGTCATTATCTCACTGGTTCTTTATCTGAAAGAGAGAGAAACAATATTACCCTACTTTATAGATAAAGAAGCTGAAGCTCAGAGTATTAAGTGACTTATTCACTCTCACAAAGGCAGAATTTGAACAAAGGTCTTTCTGGCTCCAAAATATACTGTCCTCTATCCCCCCCCCCCCCCCCCACCTTTCTTAGACTTACTTCTGGAAAATGTCCATGGGTCCTTTGTTGCTTAAAGTTATCACATTATGGGACATGCTTAGCATTTCTGTGCTGGGTCCTTTTGCTCTGGTACAAAAAGCAGGAGGTGGAGAGAAAAATGGTGCTCTTTGGAAGTTAGAGGAAGTGAGTGAAAACAGGTTAGGATAGTCCTGTAGCACCTTCCAGAGACCCAAGGCAGAAGAAAGAAAGATTGGGGCATGGGGAAGAACAGCCCAGGGCAGTGTGGTTCATGTGGTCAGTCAAGGGGGATGTGGAGACCTGGCCATGTGACCTACAGTCATGGGGACTGCTATCCCTTGGTTTTCTCATTCATAAAATGGGGAAAATAAAGGTTGCCCTCCTCTCTTTGGAGTGCCATGAAGGGCAAAGAAAGGTATCTAGGACACAGAAAAAAAAAACACTGTAGATTATAGAGTGCTATATGAGTGACAATTTAAATTATTTTCCATGTTTGAAATGTAGAAGTTTTATTTCTCTTTTTCTGAATGTCCCTCTCCATGGGGTCGCACCATGAAAATTGAGTTATCTTAGTTCATGGAACTATTAGAAGTTGATTTAGAGGGGCGCCTGGGTGGCGCAGTCGGTTAAGCGTCCGACTTCAGCCAGGTCACGATCTCGCGGTCTGGGAGTTCGAGCCCCGCGTCAGGCTCTGGGCTGATGGCTCAGAGCCTGGAGCCTGTTCCCGATTCTGTGTCTCCCTCTCTCTCTGCCCCTCCCCCGTAATCACTAATAAGAGCTATAAAGCACTCTGACTCTCTCTCTCTCTCTCTCTCTCTCTCTCTCCCTCTCCCCTTTTTGTTTTTTATATTTGAAAGACACTTCTTACTAATAATGGATTGCTGTTGTATTAATCCAGATTTGCTCACAAAGAGCTAAAGTACTTTATATGTAATATCTTCTACATCATCAAGAGCAGGCTAGGCTTTTCCTTGGAACTAAAGGAAATTTCTTCTTCTGTAATCCTTTTTCTCTTCTTGCCCAGCTTAAATGCAATTATAGGAAAACATTTTATAGCTGCTGGCTGCTTCACTTTGGCTGCACAGTGAGGGGTTATGAAATGGGATGAAATGGCTCTGCACAGAGTGCATAAGTAATAAGTCAGTCTCCTGATCCCTCCTCATCCACCAGTAATGCCAAGAAAGTGGCTTGTGCAGAGGAATAACTGTAACTACAAAACCACATAAGAAAGTCTTGCTGGGACGCCTGGGTGGCTCAGTTGGTTAAGTGGCCGACTTTGGCTCAGGTCATGATCTCATGGTCTGTGAGTTCAAGCCCTGCGTTGGGCTCTGTGCTGACAGCTCAGAGCCTGGAGCCTGCTTTGGATTCTGTGTCTCCCACTTTCTCTGCCCCTCCCCTGCTCATGCTCTGTCTCTCTCTGTCTCTCAAAAATAAGTAAATGTGAAAAAAAAAAAAAGAAAGTCTTGCCATCACAGGGACTGACTCTTCTTCTAAGTCCTGGTGTAGACTGTCCAGAGTAGACAAAAAATTAGGTGACCTTTTGCTTCTTTCCTGTAACTCATAGAGTTGTAGGTGTGGAAATACCATTGTTCACTTTTAGCAGATTATTAGGAGCTTTGTCCTGATTTTCCACCTTCCCAAATCGTGGGAAGAATTATTAATTAGCAGGCACTGTATTTCTTACCTAGCACATCTTCAGTTCCCTCCTTTCCTACCTCCCTTCCTTTTTCCTTCCACCCTTCCATCTCCTCCTTCCCTTCCTCTTTCCTGCCCTTCCTCCGTTCCTCTCTCCCCCCGCCCCGCCCCCCCCCCCAGTTCCTCTTCCTACCTTCTTCTCCTTTTCTTCTCTTCTTTTTCCTTCCCTATTTCTGTCTCTTTCTTTCTCTTGCCCTCTCTTCCTGGGGACACAAAGGGAGCAAAAACCCTATCTTGCCTCCACAGAGTTTACTTTCAAGTGGAGAACTTTTCCTTTCTCAACCTTGTCTGTGTCACTTTCATAACATAACCAAGATATATGTATATACATACACACATACACACACACACACACCACACACACACACACACACACACACACACACACACACACACACCCCTCTTGTCTTCACAACAGAATATGAAAGCCATTTCTAGCCCTGTACTTACAGCTATGGAAAATCGCTGAATGTTTTCATCCTCACAGTCTTGGATGACCTTATTCAGTCGATGGTTATCATGGGACTCCCCATCAGTCACAATCACCATAACTTTTTTAACTCCCCTTCGGGCACCCCGGGCTTCAGTGAAAGCCTCCTTCCTGAAGAAATCAAAGAGAAAAGAGAAGCAAATAAAACACCACCCCAAGGTTAGGCAAAGTGATAAACAAAAGAAAAACAGTGACAACTGTAGCTAGACTAGTGCTGTCCTTCCAAGATCAACACTGACACCCATTGTTCAAGCTGGGAGGCATGATGATCATTATTTGTAATAGTTTTGGATTTATTCCAGATGATGGAGAGGTCACCATTTTGCTGATCATCACATATCCCATATACAAAGGGCAGCAGTATTTCATTCTTTGGAAACTTGTCAGGGAAGGTGTCAATGGAGCACACATCAGATCTAGAGAAGGTCAGATCTCAAATACTGTCTCAGCCACTCCTTTCTCTATAAACACTCCTCTTTTCTTCTGCTTTTGGCAGAAACTTTTGCTCTGTCCTCACTTCCCCCACATCTACTCTGACATTTATAGAACAGTATGGAAATCCTCTGAGCTGAGGAGGGGAGCTGGGGGAAAACAGGAGTATGGGGGAAAATCAGACATGGTCATAAAAGACTGCAGACAGTTGTGGTCTGACTCAGTGATAAAGCAGGGCTATGGAGGACAAAAGGGGCTGGAGTAGCTATGAAAAATTTGGTCTGAACTAGGTTTTAGGACACAGGCTGCTGGGGATGGGGTGGGAGAAGGTGGCACGGAGAGAAAGGGAAATGCTATGCCCTAACTGCAAAGAAAGGAGTTTTTATTTAATTCAAAAAGCATTTATGGAAAGAGCTGAAAGAGAAGGGAACTTAAATTCTTGTTTGTTTTGTGCTTCTTCACAGGCACGTGCGCGCACACACACACACACACACACACACACACACACACACAGGCACACTTTCCCTGTATTATTTTCTTTTACTCAACTCACTTCCCTCTCTTGAGTCAAGTAAGTTTATTTGGAATGAAACAATGAAAGGGTTTCATATAATATTTTTTTTGATTTTGGTATAAAATGCAGCAATTGTTGTACTGAATGCTCCTTTTAAATATTTTAGTTTGGTCGTGAGGGCAAATACCTGCAGTTTGGAATATGCCAAAAAACATTTCTCTTAAACCAACCTTCCAAATGGTTTGCACAATACACATTAGTTGTACCTTAGGTACACAGTAAATGCACAATAGTAGGTATCTTGTGAGCAGGAGAGAAAATCCCAGTGATGTGGGCAGAGGGATTTTTATCTGTGATTATTTCTCTTTAAAAAGACTGAAGGCAAATATGAGAAGATATTAACAACTGTTGATTTGTTTGGTGAGTACATAGAATTTTGTTATTTGCCTTCTTTTACATTTTTGATTTTTCTTAAAAATTTCAAAATAAAGGAGAAGCTATTAAAAAAAACAACTGATCACTAAGGAACTGCATATTTCTGCCCTCTACACTAAACAGGTAAATGTCCAACTTCTTTATATGTACAAAGGTGAAAACAGATGTTAAAGACTAGTCTTTAGATGAAGTTCAGACATGGATATCACATATGATTCAACCCTTTTTGTGGTCTTAATTCTCTAGAGGATCACCAAAACTTCCTACTTCTTACAAAGATACAGGTCATTACTGAATGAACCTCAGCTGATGGAGATAATTAAAAGACATTTCTTAAAGAAAATCTGCTAGATCTAAACAAGGGTTGGTTTTATATAATGTAAAACTAGCCACTGGCAGAACTCTTGAGTAGACTCTTTCTGTTTCAAATATCTTCAGCAAATTGCCCTTGACCCCCAAATACTGCCATCCAATGAAAATAGAAGTAAAGGATTCTAAAAAATTAAAAATATTGTTTGCAATTGGCCCTGCTAGAAAGGAATAAACAGCAATTAAAAATATGCTTCAATGTGAAAAAAGAATGTACAAGGATACTGAGTAATACCGCTATGGAGTTTTATTTATATACAAAACTCATTAAACTGTGTGCCCTACAGCTAGACGCTTTGTGAAACATGTAGGCAAAAACCATATAGGGTTATGGTATTTAGAGTGGTATTTACGCAGGAGCAAAGCAGCCAGAATATTTCTTCAGTTAGTTTTCAAAGATGAATATTCATTCTTAAGTGGTTGCCTGTAGAAAATACACAGCTCCCTACAGACTCAGAGCTTTCAAAGAACACTTTGATTTACTTTGAATGTGCAGTCACATTTAGTCAATTATTTAAGAAGGTGCATTCAGCACACCTCAACATGTGCACTCTCTGTGCATGCAAATTGGTGATCTGAAAGGCAGGTAAATGTAAAATTACCCCATCTGTTTGTGGTTATTTTCTCTTGAGTCCCATATAACTAGAACCACATGCTTCTCTAACACTTAGGGGCCTAATGCTGCACATAAAATCTCAGTTCTTCAGAATATCCATATTAACTATTTTAACCCCCTTAAAATACTGATCTTAGCAGACAAGTGAAGTGAGAGAATGGGTAATTAGTTCTTTAAAATCAGATGAGGGTCCAGAAGTTGAAGACACGTAACAGAAGGATCCTTAGTATTAGTCACATTACTTATTAGATCTCCTGTGATTTTGGTATTGTTTAGTTTTTGATCAGAACCTTACTAGCTTAAAGGCAACTCATGAATAAAACAGCAAAACATGGGAGTTGCATGCAATTGGGAACGATATAGAAAATAAAATGTTCTACATTGTGATCAAAGGACAGTTCTGTTACAGTTCTCTTACTTGAGAGCTTCAATAACCCTAAATTAGGTACTGTAAAATTATGGACATACTAGGATATAAATACATATTGAGTAGAAGTGGATGAATATTAATCCTCTTTTTTAAAAAATGGGGTTCCTAGAAGCTGTAAACAAAGAACAAAGGGCAAATATATTCACTAATATTTTGTCTTAGCACCCAAGAACATGATGCATTAGACTACAGTAGTTTTTATGACTGATTTTCCATGACTTAAACCTTTAGAATAACAGGAAAGACAAGAAGGGCAGGGAGACTATGTTGTAGAAAAACTTGATCCTATAACTATTAGCTAACTGGTGGAATCCAGTTTTTTAAAAAGATGACTTTAAATATTGCCAAGATAAATGCTCAATCAACACTCGAAAGGGCTTGATTGTGAACAGTTGGTCATGTGTAGTTTTTTTACCTTGGTCTATTTTTTAATCCACATACCTGGCTGTGTCTATCCCAAGGGCTGTCATAGTCTGGCGGCCACCTCTCTGGATTATTTTATTTGCTGCAACAAGTACCTCTTCCGTTGATGAGTACTTATTGAGGTTGAACTCATGGGTTACATTTTCTCCATACTGTACAATTCCAACCTGAAATACCAAGCCATTGTGAGTTAACCATCTAGCAACATTCCATTTCAATTTTCTTTAGTTTAAACATGTAGATCAGATGTCATACATTTTTGTCTTTTAGATAGTTCAAAAATTCATCAGTATACAAATCCTTCCAACAGAAATAACCACTGCCACTTGTGGATATTCATAGCCCAAGGAACAAGAATGAAAGTGCTGTTGTTAAACTTCTTAAACAATTGGTTTATCTCTGCAATAGTTTCTACTGAATGACTCTGGCAAGCCTTGAGGGGTAGAAGATACAATGCACTGACATGCTCTCTGCCTTCATGGAACTTCTAAATGAGAGAGAGAGAGAGAGAGGAAATCAGAGAGAGAGAGAGAGAATCAGAGAGAGAGGGAGATTCAACACACAACACACAATCATTCCAATGCATGTTCAATTGCAAACTATGGAGAGAGGGTTGAAATGGAAAAGCTGTTTAGCAAGTAAACCTAGGGCCCTACTTCAAAATAGGGGGTTAGGGAAGGCCTCTTCGAAGTGATATTCAAATTGATACTGAAAGGTGCAAGGAGGGTGGAGACCTGTCCTGGATGGAGACAGAGTGAGAGGATGGATCCACACAAGGGCAATTGGTATGTGAAGAAGCTGAGATGAGAAAAAAGTAGGGATGTCCTGAGAACAGAAAGAAAGTCAGTAAGCCTGGACTAGGCTGTGAGGGGAAGTGAAACCAGATGAGGCTGGATGAGTGGTAAGTGGGGCATGTATCTGGGGAGGGCACACATGTGCTTCAGGCTTTATCTAGCTCAGGCATAGCTTCCATTTCTCTCACACCAGCCCTTCTCCCCACCACCCCTTTTCTTGTTCAGTCTTCCCTTCTTTCTACCTTCCTCCTTTCGTTCCCTCCTTTGCACAGATAGGATAACGTGGGCAGCTAACTGCAGAGCCATCATGGAGCAAAATGATACATAGGGTAAAGTGACACCAGATTGGATTTCCCTTGCTCTGTATTCCTCCCCTCTGCCTTACAGATGCCCATTTTTCTTATCCTTTTTCTATACCTTCTTTGAAATATTGATGTGAACCAATAGATCAATCTACATCAAGAATTGTGAGTGAAGATAACTTTTTGTTTAATTTCCCACCCCAAAATGAGAAATTCAGAAATTCTATACCCAAATGAATGTCTTTTTAATGTAGAAATCCTGGGCACTTCATTTCTTGGGTCCTGGGGAAGCATTTTGAGACAAGGCTGCCTTCTTGCTAAGGCAATTGCCTAGTTTGCTCAGTGGTAAAGTTGCCTCTAGTGCTTTTTTCATACCCATCTTATTTCCAATTCTGATCTTACTTCCAAGTGGCATGAAGGTTCAGCATCTACCTTCCAGCCTCCCTTGAGGATGTTACAGTTGTCAGAAATCTTCAATTACATGTCTGACTCATAGATACATTTCCACAGCTGGGTCTTCTTTGAAACCAGAAGCATATTCTGGCATTTGCAGAAACCAACAAGACTACCTTCTAATTTAAAATAATCTTTATTGGGGCGCCTGGGTGGCGCAGTCGGTTAAGCGTCCGACTTCAGCCAGGTCACGATCTCGCGGTCCGTGAGTTCGAGCCCCGCGTCGGGCTCTGGGCTGATGGCTCAGAGCCTGGAGCCTGTTTCCCATTCTGTGTCTCCCTCTCTCTCTGCCCCTCCCCCGTTCATGTTCTGTCTCTCTCTGTCTCAAAAATAAATAAACGTTGAAAAAAAATTAAAATAAAATAAAATAATCTTTATCATCTTTGAGCCACCTTCTAGAGTACACTAGACGTCTTAAAGCAATTACACCATTATGCTTAAATAAGAATAGTATCCTATATTTTTAATGCCTTTTGAAAAGCTTTCCCCTAATTTATTCAGATTATAATAACATTAATTGGTATCACATTTATAAATGAGAAATTTAAGTTTAAAATATTCCTCACAGTGAAAGGGCAGAAAAGAGTCTAGTCTAAGATGTGAATCTTTTATCCCAGGGCTTTTTCCATCAGTCTACTTCCTCTCTACAGAAATACACCTCCCTGAACTCCCTGCATTCTGTGTCGCCTCATCCTACCAGTTTCTTTGCTAAATGCTGCTGCCATTGATGAATTGTTACTTGATGAATTCAATGAGCTATCTAGCTAATTGAGATCTACTGGAGAATATAACACAAGTAAAGCAAACAAACAAGCATCATATTTTAAAAATAGAAACAGGGGCGCCTGGGTGGCGCAGTCGGTTAAGCGTCCGACTTCAGCCAGGTCACGATCTCGCGGTCCGTGAGTTCGAGCCCCGCGTCGGGCTCTGGGCTGATGGCTCGGAGCCTGGAGCCTGTTTCTGATTCTGTGTCTCCCTCTCTCTCTCTGCCCCTCCCCTGTTCATGCTCTGTCTCTCTCTGTCTCAAAAATAAATAAAAACGTTAAAAATAAATAAATAAAAATAGAAACAGAACACATTAATCATTCCTTAGAGTTGTTTAGTTGGGTATAGGATAAATAAGAAAAAGACAGCATACGTAAGTGTAAGATAAGGTATATAATAAGCTGACTGAACATGCAATCCCTCAATCTATGTCCAGGATATCCCTGCTCTTCTATGAATATATCTTTCACTGAATATCTGTCACCATCAGTCCCAAAGCCGTGTGCTCTTATAATTGGAATAAAGATGACCAAAAGTCCTTTTGGAAATATAAGCAGGCTACAACCAACTAATTATGCTAAATAAATAAATAAATAAATGGATGAGGATACACTCAAAATCCAATTCAGGTTATTTCCTTGAATCATAATTAAGTGTTATGGATAGTTATCTATTACACTCAACACAGATTTAAAATTATTCTCCCAATGACCCTCATAGGTTTTAATTAGTAATCTAGGGAGACACTGTATAATTATTAAGGGAAACCATGAAGGTTCAACATTGTCTTTGTGTATAGAAATGTTCAGTATAAATAAAAGTAAAATGATTTTGCAACTTAGATAAACATTATGCTTATTTTTTGGTACCAAGGTGAATAAATGCTGCTGTGGAAGTTAATTGCTCATCTATTCAGGACATCTTACAGAGTTTCTTTGTTTTTATTTCCCTTTGTTTTTGTTTGATCAGGCAGGAGGCTAAAGAACTTTGAAAACTGTCATTCCTGTCATTATTCTTGGACATTTTACTACTTGAGTGAATCTACTGAACACTGTAGTCTCTCATTTGGATAAAATCTTGAACAATCTAGTCTTATTTCTTTGACTTCCTCATCTTTAGTAATCTTTTCCTCTACATCACCTATGTCATCCACTCTCAAGGTCTTATCCTTGACCTTGTCAACTGGAAAAACTGCAGCACCTCAATCTCAATTTCAAGTGTTTTACCATTAACTTGAGCTCATTTATGTCTGTCACCAATTCCTTCACCATATCAAGACTTGCAATTAATTCAGAGATCCTACTTTTTTTTTGTCCCTAGCTTAGATTCCATGGTCCATCACCACAATCATTTACTTGCAAACTTTAACTCCTTTAACCTTTTTTCCCCTCCATTAACTCACATGGCTAACCTCCAATTCTGGTTAAGTCCAAATATCTCCTTTACTTCTGTGCTTCTGTGACTTCAATTGTTTCTACACAAAAATCACACAAATTGTAGACTGGTCTCACTTTAAAGTTATGGCCATGAATCTCAAATGTGGTTGCACATAACACTGCTCGACAGTCCTACTCCTTTGTACTAATGAGCGTATTTTGCTCCCATTTATTGAGTGCAATCAAATTCTGGTCATAAACTATTAACTCTTCAGGAAAAAGACAGTATCACATTGATACATGGGGAGGAGTTCACACGAGAAGAGGAAGAATTTATGCCAATTAAACAAGGCTGCTTTGTGCCATAATATCTGACATTTCAAAATACTTTACATATTTTATAAAACCTACTATGGACTATTGGATTATCTGGACACCAGGAACAGCAGAAAAATTGTAGCCTCTTGGTAAGTCAGAAATCAGTGCTTTATACCTTCTCTCTCTCTCTCTCTCTCACTATCTGTCTTTCTCTACCTACTTAACATATATCTCACTTCTATAAGTTTATTCTTTAGATAACTTGTAACTGTCAGTTGCCTCACCCTTTCTTTATACTTTGCTTCTAACACTCCACATGAGTCTCTTCAGATGACCGTCTGCCCTTGGATTGCTAGATCTGCTTTGTTCCAAAGGTTCAAAGAGCGAGGAGTGCCTGGAAATTTTTTCCTTTATCGCCTTTTGCCAAGCTCCACAGGCAATGCCTGAGTACAGACAGTGAAAGACCAGCCCCTTGACTCAGATTAGCTGAAGGCCTTGATTTCACCTGAAATCACACCCTTGGTTCTTCTCAGTTGTTCCTCTGTTTTGCTCCCCCAAATCTCTTACTATTTTCTTTTAAAAGCACTCCCTTAGTAAATCACTGTCACTTGGCTCATTTTCTCAGGGTTTGCTTCTGGGAAACCAGACTTAAGGCAGCTATTATCTGTGTTTCTGCATTTCTTCCTTGGCTCAGGCCAGACCTCACTTCACTCAACCTGGACCGTGGCAATAGTTGGTCTTTCCGCTGTTGGTCTTCCTCCTATTTTCATTCTCCTCAGCTCCATCGCCTCAGCTCTTACATAAATAAATGTAAGGCTAACTGCCTTGAAATTCTGCTTACATAACATCCTTATTCAAAAATCTCCACTAACTCTCCATTGCCTACATCAACGACTTTAAAATACACTCTAAATGGAATTTTTATTCTACTTAAAATAGAAAACAGATAAAACTTGAAGCTGCTCCTTGGAAATACAAGACCTGTAAGGTAGACTTCAGTTTTCTTCCCCTGACCTGCAGTCACTCAACAGCCTTTCTAGTTCTCCCACGTCTTCAGGACTCCCCAGTATGAACCCTGTCCCTACCAAGTGCCTTTCCTCATCCCTCCAACAAAGCTAAGTTCTATCCATTCTGGAAGATCCAGTACAAAGAGTCACTT